CCTGCTGCACGCTCTGCACCAGCTTCACTCAGAACACGATCGAGGCAGAACGAACCTGCGTGAATGTTACACCGGAATCTCTGGTTGAGTCACAAGCCCATGCCCGGGCAGCTCCTTTCGGAAATGGCTCCTGTCACGTGTGGTCACCACCAACAGCTCCGGAGGGCAAGCACTCATCAATACACAAGTTTTCTCCAACCAGTGAAATACAAGCTGCAAAGAAACACGAGATAATACGATGCTTGCTCCTCAGCCATCTCCACCGGTGTGCACAGGCCCTTGGTTTCGAGGTGCGCGTATTTTGCGGCTGCTTCCAGCTACCAAGGACAACACACCTCCAGGTTCTCACGTCGGATGATTGTGAACTTCCCCCAATGAGGATGCTACAGAACGCTGTCAGGTACAGGACCTTGAGGCTCGGACACAGTGCATCGGCGGCGACATAGGCCAAACGGAAAAAGCCACCTTTGCCGCACCAGGTCGTCTAAGGTGCACCCATCAACATGCCGGCCATCAACCATGCATAAGGTGCAGATCTCTCAAATTCTTCCACAGCCGGGACATTTCTGGCAATGATATGCCGGTGGCCCAAGTGAGGAGACGGCATTACTCCACCGGCAGGGTCCGCGCCGACATCTTACTACAGCTTCCTTCACTACAAGCTTACGCAAGACAGCATGGTCAGAGAATGGTAAACTAGAAGTCTTCCCGGCCAGCACTTTGCTGAGCAGCCGTGTGAGGCGTGGCCGTAGCTGGGTGGGTGCTGGGATGGGATTTTCACGGAGGTCCCGTTGGCTCTTCATGGCATCCGTTCGTGCGGCTTGAGCGGCCTGTGAGAATCGAGAAGGCATTCTTGCAGAATCACATATAGGTCCTCTATATTGGGCGGTGCTGTGGCAACTTGATTGAATTCTTTTGACTTATGTCTGAAAAGGCTCCTGGCTGCCATTTCCTCACCAGAAGCTGCGACTGCGACGAGACTGAGGTCCATCGCCCATCGCAGCCACTACATGATGCTTCATTGCAGGCATGGCGCACGTTTTTCCTGTCTCTGGAGCGCTTGATGGCTCCACTGATCCACTTATCGAGCACAAGCCCAACACGCCACAGGGTTCCCCAGTTAAGGGACAAGACTTGCCCCGGCGTCTTGGGCTTAGGGTTGCCATTCAGCTTTCGAAGTATTGGCCCCGGTGTGCACCACGGCGAGGAGTGTGCCGGTACCTGGCCAAGGTGGAACTGCGGCGCGAGACGTGAAGCTTCTTAACCAAGACATGCATGAGCCCACGATGGAGCCAGACACGACTTGCCACGCTTGTATTCCTTGCAGAACTCCTGGCAGCCACGTCAAATGGTCGAGTTAGGGGATGTTCTTAAGGCTTATGTTCATGTCGGACCAGCTGAAAAGCCTGAAACAAGAATGCCCTCCAACCTGCTCCGAAGTTCGGTGCGGCTTGCCAAGGAAGCTTCGTTCAAGTTGGATGGACATCGTGAACCTTCGTGCTTGTCAAGCAGAGAATGGCGGGACACCTCTCCGCAGCTCAGTTTGCCGGGGTCCGACACCTGGACTCAATCGTGCCGACGAAGAAGTCGGCCCTGCCAAGGTGCTCACGCTTTGCGGAGTCCGTGCAGCAAGATGAGGGCGCAGGGTTCCATAGAGGAGGGCTTTTCGGTCCAAAACCCTAACCAAGCTCCTCGTCTCTTCCAGAAGCAGTACAAAACAGAAAGCCGTCCGGACAAAGAACCAGTTCCTACGTCTGGCCTGGCTGCAATCCAGGTCTCCACAATCGCCTGCTTCGCGGTTCTCTAGTCGCGGAACAAAACTGATGAGACTTCCTGCTAACAGGCACAGCTCGCATGCAAGACCCGTCAACAGCAGGTGACGAGCCAGTGTAGAGGCTCTGAATCCGGGCGCCACCCCGATCCCCAACCGAAGTTTGCTCTGTTGCTGCTGCTCAACCAGGGACCTGACCCTTTCAGATTGAAACGACTTTGACTGAAGGACTCATCATGGCTCATCCTTGTGCGAAAGTGACATTGCAATGCAAGAGGTCCCAAGCAGCGTTTTCAGTGCGAACAACATGATGTTCGTCGGAGGCGCCGGGGAGTGATCGCCCACTCCGCGGGCCCGCTGTGATCCTATCGGCACTATGTCTGTTTAATGAAGCCCTCAGCGAACAGCTCCAATGTCAGGAACTGTTACATGCTGAGCTGCGACAAGCCTCGGGCTACTTCAGTAGCACCTCAGCTCACTGGCTGGCAATCTTTACCCTGCCTTTGCACATTTGTCTTTGGGCGGTCACCGAGGGTGCAATCAAAGCTCGCGAAAGCCCCTTCAGTCAAATTTTGCCGCCGATGCAGGCATGAGCCACTTTCAACCCTGACGAGAAGGCCAGATGGCCTTTATCTTTCCCGAATCGCAGCTCACTCCATCCAGTCTCAGCCATGCCTGCTCTCTTCGACACTTCTTTCACTTCATCATTTCCATTAGGTTCCCACTCTTGGGGGGAGCAATTGCCCGCTGGCCATGTTGGCACGGGGGGCAGGATCGCTCCGAGCTTGCCAAAGCCACAGATCCAAGATCTCAACACCCAACTGGAAGTACACTTACAGAACTATAGACAAAGTCTGCAGGGCTCTTGCAGGCTCCACGTGGCTGCCGAAAGGAAATGCCATGCACTGGATGGTCGAAGTTCTGTGGAACAGTGCGGGGGAGCGATCTGCCATCTAACATGAGAACACAACCGAAGGGCCACCAGGTGCAATGCAAAAGGCCCTTTCCTTCCTGCCAGCTGTCAGCCTCTGAATCTACAGGCCAAGTTGCTGGTGCGGGATGCACAGGTGTCCCTGTGTTCTGTTTAAGTCTCTGTGGTTCTAGCTGTGCATCCGTGGCAGCGACCAGCTATGGCGGGCAGGCACCTGCTGGCACCGATGCAAAGCGCATCCGAGGATCTCCTCTGAGCCTTTGCTCTCTGAGCACGCCGCTGTCGGCTCTCATCTGGCAGCTTTGTGCTGCACAAGAAGCGCAGTGTGACGGATCAATCTATGGATCAGCGTCCTCACAATGAAACGTTGACGCCACCGGTCAACAAGGAATCTGCCTGACCTGCACAGAGCACTCACCGTGCAACCGCAGTGATGCCTACTGGGACCTGCCGCAGAGGTGAATCGGAACCCTTCGTCCGTGGCTTCATTTTGGGGGCAGCTTCCTGACCTTGACCTGGACTCCCTGCCAAAAAGCCGCCTATGGTAGCACTTCGTGAATCTCACCCCACCAATCCGACACTAATCCAACTGAATCTGCACGAGGCCCAGGCCTGGTTTATTCGCCGAGCTAAGTCCTTGGAGTACACAAAAGCGCGTTGAAACGAGTCAGAGTCACAAGCAGGGATGTCACAAGGACGTAGGGAGCGCACGCCGAAGGCCGCGGACACGTTTCGCTTGCTTCCCGGCCTCGCCAAGCTTAGTGACTGAGTGTAACACTCTGCCGTCTCCGGCGGTCCTGAGACCGAGCCCAAGGCCAAACATCCTTGTGAACTGTAGACCCTTTCGTGAATCCACGTACATCGCGACTCCCTTTGATCATGGGTGGGATGGGTGGGGGGGTTTGGTTGAAGCAGCCGCATCCTGACTTATCCCGAAGCTTTGCAGATCTTTCCAACTTTACCCATTCCGCCAGAGCAACAAAGGCTGCGACCAGTAGCATTGACCGTGAGTACACGTAACATGATTATCCGCGAAGCACACACGCGCGGCGCGCCTGCACCATCACATTCAGTACCAACTGGAGAGTGTCATCATGGCCTTAGTTTTTCGTGCTCTTTCTTTCACTCTGTGGTCCATACCTTCAGCGGAACGGGGTTTGGTATCTGGCAAATCTGCGGCTTCTGCAGTGCACATCTTGGAAAACGCTACAACCGAGTTCTTTCCAGAGTCTCTCTTGGACTCAGTTCCTTGGGACCGAAGTGATTGTAAAATATCCTACTGTGCTGCTGTTTCACGTGCTGAGGGCCATCAGGCTCTTCGGTTCCCTGGTGCTGGCGAAATGCACTGTTGTGCTCCACAACACTGCTGTGATGTGCCTTGCATATACCGGGGTGCGCATAATTTTCCTGTGTTCGCCCCTCGAAATAGTGCTCCGACCGCAGGGCATTGCAAATTCTGGCTGCGACTCGTCCGATCGCCGCTAAAATTCGTGCTGGAGCCTCTAGACTCTAGAGGTTAGTCTGCCAGTTGCTCCCGTCCGTGTTTATCCTGCCCTAGTCTCTCGCTCTACGATGAAATTCAAGCACTGAGTCGGGCATGGAACATCTATGCACATGCAGAGCTTTTCAAGAAAGACAGCATCATTCGTGCTGTCTGGATTAACATCCTCCGGAATAGGCCCTTTGTTTATACCTGGGTCGCCTGCCCAGGTCGTCATCAAGCTCGAAAATGCGGCTGACCTGACGAAATCTGAAGCACTCTTAAGCTTGCAAAGTTCAGGGGATTCCTCCTGATTCAACAAAACGACTCTGCCGGAAAGCGCTTGGATTGCTGGGGGCCAGACCCGCTGCGAGATGGAGAAGACGTTCTTGTCTGGATGCTGGACCTTCGGCCCGGGCAGAAGCAAACGGCAACCGTGTAGAACCTGAGGCCTTTGACATCTGATCGACAAGTGGGTTTGAAAGTCCGGAGATGGGTTGGATGCAGACGCATTCGAACGTCTACAGCTTCGCTGACATCAACATAAAACCTTTCGCACTGCATGAACCTGGGACGACCTGAAGCCAATCATCAGCATTGAGGAGACTATCGTGGTCTTTGTGGGCTCGATGAACTTCAGGATCTGAGGTACTTGCGACCAGAGGCTGTCCGTCGCTCCACTTCGCAAGGACCTTCTCGCTTCAAATGGCAGAACATTAATGTGTTCCGAAAGTGAAGGTTACATATGGTGTGGTTCAGCTGTAACGGTGGCAATCCATGACCCTTCCTACTTGTGGCACTCCCATGCCGAAACAAAGCTATGGAATCAGAGGGCAGGGGCAGCGCGAGGCAAAATTCCTCTGACGCCTATACCCACAAAAAATCACGAGGAATCCCGTGGCCTTGGCCCCTTCCACCAGCGTGGAGGTGATTCGCCGGCGTCTGGGAGATGATGTTTTGTTTGGCGCGCGAGGGTTCTTTCGCAGTGCGAAGCATGGCTTGCGTGTTGTATGGTAGGAGGGAGGAGATAGGTCCGGGCACAAGCGAAGGCAGGCGAAGACAAGAAGGAATAGCCCGGAGGTTGATCGAGTAAAACGTGCCTTGAGCATGCCAAGGTCAAACTCCTGTCTAGAGCTCTGCAATCATGCGGCCCGTTGATGGAGTCGACGCCGCACAGTATCCTGGGCGGAGTGATGGTGTCCTGCGAGGCTCTGCATGATCTGATCTCATTGCATGCGTCTGTGCGGACGTGGGAAAGGACACCAGTCAGGAGAAATCTGTCTTAAGTATGCGGTGCGAACCTCTTTACTTCAGGAGCTCGGCACCGGCAGGTGTCCTGACTTCGCTTGGAACTCCCGCGGTCAAGGCAGGAGAAGTTCGAGCTGGACAGAAAGACGTCCTGCACCAAAAACCAGAGTCGGTGTTCTGTTTCAGGACCAGCATGGACCGATGCCAACACACTGAAGTGACTGATGCCTCTCCCGGAAGCATCGGGACGGGTGCTGGCAGGCAGCCAACAGACTGACTTTCCGGCAACATGCGTGTCAAGAGCTCTCCCCGATCTGCCACGGTCCTCGTACGGCGTGTTGTCTGCGACCTGCATGCATGTGACTAGCTTCGGTGAGACCATTTAGTTCCGATCCTGCGTCGCCAGCCCTCTAACTAGTTCAGGTTCCAGGAGGCTGAAGCTTTAACCGTTATCAGTAGCTGCATTGATCGCAAGACCACTTGCTGGGCATGCCACAGCGTCCACAGGTGAGATTGCATTGCATGTAGTAGGTGTCAGGTGGTTGGACCGGTCTTTTCTGAGCCGCGAGAGCTGTTTCGTGGACTGCGGGATGAGGTAGCAAGGACAGTCGACTTCGAAATCCTCGCGATGTCGGGCCATCTGGCGGTCTGGTCCAGTGGCTGCTTCCGCGGTCTGGCGGTCTGGTCCAGTGGCTTCTTCGGTCGGCAGTTGTCTCGACGGCTCCGCTTCCATGACAAGCGGACCGACGTTGTCGAGATTCTTCTGGCATCAGCATGATCAGCTCTTCAAATGCCATTTGCGGGTGGCTCTCCGGAGGCAACGGCGCAGAAAAGGAGTCATCTCCTGGAAGAGCGGCACCCGACCGAGGTCTGCACCGGCACATCTCAAGCGGCATGCAGCATCCAAGTGGCCCAAACGCCACGCCTCGAGCAAAGGAGTGGAACCTGCAGCGGTGGTCTGATGAACATCCGCCCCAGCCTCCAGCAGCAGAGACACAGTTTCCGATCGGCCTGCAGAAGATGCCCAGTGCAGGGCCGTTTCGCCCCGTGTGTTGCGCCTCTCTTTGTCTGCGCGGGCCTCAAGTAAAAATTTGACGACATCCACGTGACCCCGTCGTGAAGCTTCCATCAGGGGTGTGCTGCCATACATCGCGGTGAACGTGATGGCAAGTCTGTCCTTGTCAGCGCCCACTGACACCAAAAATCGCGCGACCTCCAGCTTGCCCCATCGACATGCTGCTTGCAAAGGAGGCTGTACGGAGCCATCATCACCGTCCTTGTCCGCACCCGCCTCCAGCAGCAGTTGCACCATTTGCAAATGCCCTCGGGCCGACGCAGCGTACAAAATGGCACTGGGCGAGTGGCAGTCCCGGAGCAAAGCCTCCACCCTCGCAGCGTTACCTTCGATGATGGCATCCAGCAGACCAAGCCCATCCCCCGGTCCTCAATGGCTGAAACACATGCTGGGATGAGCGGATGATAGCGGATGATGTGGGAGAGTGGATTGGGAGCAGTGCTGGGCAAGTCACCTGTAGGCCTTGGCGGCAAGACCACGAGCTGCAGTTCCGCAGGCCCCGAGAGCTCTTCGTCGTCGCAAAGCTCCCGGCTGCCACACAAAAGGCGCTGCCGGAAGCGCGGCCCGCATCCTGCCACCTCACAGGCCACAAGACATCCGCTCTTCGTTTCTCTTCGTCTTCTCTCGCATGCCTTTAGTCCCCCGCCCACCTTTGCCAGCCGCGACTTGAGCTCTCTTACGGAGCCAGATGATGGGCGACCGAGGCCGTCGAGGGACTCCGTCAAGACTTCTTCGCCAGAGACCAGATGCACGCGAAGCATGCAGGCCGCGCCGGCTTCTGGTTTCGAGTCTGAACTGTAGCACCAAATCCCCGAAGCTCAGACCTGCATTCTCAGCTTGACACACCAGAAATGTTTTGGAGTGAGTCGGCTTCGTGTCATACTTTGGCCACACCACACCTTGCACAGAAACTGTCTTGGGCCTTGGATCATCCAAGCATAACTCCCAGCATTGAAATGGACCGATGATGCTCTGGTGACTCTGGCGAACCAAGCTGCAAGCGCAAGTCCACCAAAGGTCTGCTAGACGGACCCCGATACACAACGACATCAGTAGCTACGATCCCAGTGGCCTTGCCGGTGATGAGTGGCTCGTATTCCAAGTCTCGCCAGACCTGAGACAAGGCTCCATGCAACCAAGGCCAAAGCGGGCTGGATCAAGCCGCAAAGCGGCGCCCCGCTCCACTCCTCTCACCAGGTCCGCGGCGCCCTTGCTAAGGCCGCCGATGAAAGAGAGTAGCACGGCCCCGCCGCCTTATTGGAAAGAAATGGGGCCGAAGGACTAAGCCGAACCCTCCGGTACCGTCGGGACCTTGGTCAACGAAGTTGATGAGACGGGCGATGCGCTTGTCCGAGGGAGTCCACGGTGCCAGGACGAAGGCCACGTCGATCTGGGGAGACGGCCCAGCTCTTGGTATTGCACAATCCAATGTTCCCATGCAAGAGTCTAGGGAGGTGAGCACGCATCTGCCACATGCAAGCATAAGAACTCCGCCTAAGGAACTAGGCATGAACAGGACCCTGCAACTGACAAGCAAATATCTACCGACCAGCCAACCTGCTCCATGTTGATGATGGTTCCCTCCGCACATTCTCGCAGCGGCGGTTGCCTGCATCGGTTACATTTTGCAATGCGGCTGCGGCGGCATGTTTTGTGGGATTGCAGGGACAGCTGATGCAGTCTGTGCGAACTCCAAAGTCCGCTCCAGGCTTACGGGCGCCTTGCAAAAATGTTCTCCAGAATGGCCCGGCCCCCGAGAAACTCGATCTCCTCGGCCACCAGCGTCGCGGCCTTGGACGGCATGCAGCATTGGCTTGGCACTTCTAGTCACGTACTCGTGGCTGTCGCCGCTAGGTGACAGTTTTGGGGCCGAAGCAGTGATGTTTCGCTCGACATCTTGGTCGTTTCGAGCATCAGTGTCGACGGAGTACATCACGGCACCTTGAGAAACACGGGGCTCTCAAAGAGACAGCGCAGCACCCTCTTGATCAACGGAGGAATGCACCGTGTAGAAGTGTCCACCGGAAGCAGCCACTTGATGCTGTGTTGACAGTCTTTTTTGCGTACATACATATAGACATACATACCTGCCTACGCACATACACACACACATACATACATACATACTTACTTACGAACATACATGCATGCATGCATGCATCATACACCCATACCAGCACATATATGCCAACCTACCTACCTACCTACCTACCTACGCACCGACCGACCTATATGATGTCATGTAGACACACCTACAAACAAAGACACATGCAAACAAACATTCCACCCATCCAGCCATCCATCCCTCCGTCCGTCCATCAGCCATCTTTCTTTCCATCGACGCATGCATGCACACACAAGTGTTCACAAAATGCATACATACCTACCTACTTACGTACCTACACACACATACATACAGACGTACAGACATACGCACATCCCTGCTCACGCACGGGTACTTACCGAAGTGCACGACAGAAACTAGAACAATAGACAGAAATACAAACACGCATGCGTACAGAAGAACATACATCCGCACATACATACCTACATACCGCAAATACCTATGTGCACATACTCTTAGATTGCTAGCTGGCCGGGAAGGTAGGAAGGTAGGTAGGTAGGTGGTAGACCGATCGGTAGACGAACAGATTGCCAGACAGACAGACAGACAGACAGACAGATGTGCATGCTTTTAGATATGTCGATATGCATGATGTGATGTGTCATATGTGCGCGATGTAGGCATGTAAGTGGGCGTGTATGTATGTACGTCAGTATGCATGCATGCATGCATGCATTTATGTATGTACGCATCCGTGCAGCGTGCATGCATAAATACATGCATAAATGCATGCATGTGCATGTATGTGATGTGATGTGATGTGATGTGATTTATTCAATTATTGTAATGTTATATGATGTAGTGTTATGTGAAGGTTATGTAGAGCTATGACATGAAAGCGATATGCACGTATGTACGGATGTAAGCATTTATGTACATACATCTGAGCGTGGCTTGGTCAGAGACTCAATGCGTGATTTCGCGTGAATCGCGAGCATTCCGTTTCTCTCCCTTACATTACTACTCGGAGACACCATCCTCGCTAAGCAAACACGCCGAGGTCCTGGCAAGTCATGTCCTGCAGACGACTCACCAATCAATGTGATCGAATCCCTTATGACTCAATCATGACCCTAAGTGCATAATAAGCATTGATAAGACTAGAGAGATAGACCACGAAGCGTCCCTTCCCCCAGGCACCCTGCAAGAGCAAGATTGACTGCGCCGCAGTCCTTGAAGGGCTTCCTGGGATTCGGCGCAGCTGGGATCGGCCAACCCTCGGAGAGGCACTGCTCGTTCATCAGCTTCTGCCACACAGAGAGAGGTCACGAATATTCACGAATGATGGCTGATTGTGTGGAGTGCGAAGCTGTGGCAAGGTCAAGGTGGGCACGACGCCAGTCCAACAAGGATTCACAGGGCAGGCCTCCAGAGCCTGGTTGCCGTTGCGATTTAGGACCTCTGACGGCGACAACTCGTTGCTTGGCTCCGCAAAACGATGTCCGCGCCTTGGACCAGATGAGAGTCATGCGCGGGATCGTCTCGACCTGGGCAGCCCGGACCTGAAGGAACCGGAAGAGGAAGGCTACGGCGGCTACGGCCACTGCAGCACCGATCATCCGTTCAAAGCTCTTGCGGGACCCGGCCATGTAACTGTTGGAGAGGGCGCCGAAGCGGATGGACCTTGGCGGAAGCCTACCAGCCCTTGCAAGCCCTTGCATGCCCTTGCTGCTTCACTGCTTCGTGTTGCTTCGAGGACTGATGCAAGTGAAGAAACAGCGGCTCAAGGCCTGGACTGCCAGAGCTGCGTCGCCTCCCGAGATGCACTTCACACCAGCTTTGGTTCAGCGAGTATGGGCGAGAATAGCTCGGCTTTTGTCAATCTCCTCCTGACGTCTGATGTCACTGTGCCTCGGCCGCCCGTCCGCTGAAGGTCAAGCTCTGCGCTGCATCCGCCACGAAATCGAAGATCTGAAGTGGGACAGGTCCACAGTCCACAGTTCCACCAGTTGTGAGCGGAATCCGAGAAACACTCGAGTTGCGCAAGTGGTAGAATGCACGAGGCCTACGGGCCTCGTTCTCGTGCATAACGGAGATGTCGTCTCTCCGCAGGATTTGCGCCAAGGTGCTGGGAGGCAAGCGCCTTCGACGGATAGTTTCACATCGTGGCAGAGCTGTCCAGAGCAGAGCAGTTGCATGCAGAGCTGTCCACTTTGGTCCCTCGGGCCCAGGCTGGAGCTCCTCCGTGCAATACTCGTCGAAGTGTTCGGCGATCACATCCGTCGCCGCCTTCGAGATCCTGCAGACGTCGGCAATTCTATGCCATATGCTGCATCTGCGACTGCTAAGGCCGCTGAGACTCCGCAGAGATTTGCTGAGGCCGGCACTGCTCTGCCAAGGGTCCCCCTAGGATGGAGAAGCTATCCGAAAGAATCCTGCACGGGGAGCAGACGGCGGGCGGCTAAGCGGCTAAACGACGCCCCTGCAAGTTGAAGAGTTCACGGCTCTTCGATCCCACGCTCGACTTTATAATGTAATTCTGATTTGGGTCGACGCTTATCTCCGGCCCATATGCACCTGCATCCGTCTCCCTTGCCGCCAGACGCCAGATCGATGAGCGTCAATGGCAAACCCGGTATGGTCATTCTAATTTCAGGGCCGTTTGTGTCTCCTCGGTGCTGTTGGCACTGACAGGATCTCGTTGATGCCCTCCACGCCTTGCCGAGCAGTTGGCCCCATCACAATACTCAACACTGCAGATGCCCTGAGACTGACGGTCTGACCGTCGGATCCCAGGTCCCAGGGCCCCGACAGCGCAGGAACAGAGAGCGAATCTGCAAGGCATCGGCCTCGGCATGCGAAGTTTCGAATATAGTTGAATAGCTAGCTGACTGAGAATGTGGGACGCAAATCGTGATGCTAGGTGCCACAGGGTCCTCGTGTCGCTTCCGCGTCATGCGTTTTTTGGCCTTCTGCGAAACTGGGCACATGGGCACATTGGTCATTGGCTGCTGTCGACGGTGAAAGGATCGGAAGCATGGCTTTGCAAGGATTACGTGCATGACCAAGGCCCCTCAGACTCTGCCTCACGCTGACTATGTCAAATAGGCTGTGGCCACTTCATGGCAGCACCAGCTCAGGGCATTCGCTCGTAGGTGACGCAGAACTCTGGATAGCATTGCTTCTCGTACACGACGAACTCGCGGTACCTTGGAATCATGCTTTGAAGCTCTTACTTCCGACACAGATTGCTTGACAGTTTGGCAGTTCCCCCTGTGGCTCACCTTCTGGCTGCCTCTTCTACTCGAACCTTGCGCAAAGCTGTGAGGAAATCTTTCCCCATCGGAACCCCTGATTTTCCTGTATAGCAGTGAATGCATCACCAAGTCAGCCCAGAACCCAGGGCCTATCTGCAACCACCGGCTTTCCTCGCCTGCCTCTCATGTACGTAAGCTCTGCGCTGCTTCATCTGGCCGTCAATGCAGAAGTCGCCCATCACAGAGTCAAAGCGTTCGTGGCTGCAAATGCACAGTGGCACCTCGAGCTGGGAAGGCGATGAGAGACGGCTTCAGTTCTTTGGGTATCAGCGGGCCAGGGAGACGTACAATGCGCTACACCTGAGCAGATCGCCATCCCCACTTGAGTCGGCTCAGATTGGGTGTCTACGGCACAGCTTCAACACCGCGAGGAAAGCCGAGGCGACCGATGCAAAGGCCATGAGCTCCGGACCCCTTTCTCCCGCCAAGGTCGACCGATGTGAACCTTCGGACTTTCTCGGATGGGTGGCTGTTTCACACGTCCCTTTTCTTGTCACCTCAGACTCCGGTTGAATTCTTGCACGCACCATGACAAACTGGACTGGGGTGTGATGGTCGGGGGATCAGATGGTATGCAAGTCTCCATTCGGCTAGCTTCGAACTGCATGAGTGGTCTGAGACCTAAGGTTGACTATGTTGACTGAAGTACTCGAAGTCATTGTTCGCAGATTTCGAAATCAATTTCGCTGCTGCAAGCTAGCTGAGAAAAGCCTCGTCGTTCCAGAACAAGTTCAGGTCGAAGTGGCCTGGCAGGCAGCGAAAGGCCAGTTTGAAGGCTCTGGCTGGGCAGAGGACCTCCCCTTGTCCCTGAAATCTGAAGAGCAAAAGGCAACGCCTTGCACGCAAGGCGGCCGCCGGAGCTGCTCCAGTGACTGGTTCGTCTTGTACGGACCTCGTGCGTCGTCCGCACTGCGCAGCTCACGACTTCAAGTTGCCCCTCGCAGCCGCCAAGAGAGCGCTCAACTGCTCAATGCCTTCTCCTCGCCTTGACCACGTGCGTCTGCGTGGTACGGAGCCACTTCTGAGATGATCCCACCAAAGTGAGGGGCCGCTTCTGAGTAGTGGCAACAATGCGCTCCTGAAAACTTGACAACCCTTCCAGCACTTCTACACGCGGCCTACCGAGTTGTACGGATACGACATATGCTATCGACGTTTAGGGCAACGCCGAAAAGGCTAGCACGAGACGACGGATACCCTTCTTTTGTATGGGAAGAATGCGCATCGCGCCGGGTCCGTCGCCTCCGCCCAAAACTAGGCTGGCCGGCGCCGGGGAAGCTTTGAGCTACCCGACGCGCCGCCCGTGGGCGGGGGACGACCCTCAAGTCTGTCAGCAAACGGCTTCGCCGATACTGGGGAGGCCTCCTCCCCACTCCCAACACGAGGGTGGTAGAGGGTGGGCCGAAAAAGCGACGTCGAGCCGGAGCAGCTGCCGGCACGACGAGTCGCTAATGTCCATGCACACACACGTGTGCTACACGACATATGCTATCGACGTTTAGGGCAACGCCGAAAAGGCTAGCACGAGACGACGGATACCCTTCTTTTGTATGGGAAGAATGCGCATCGCGCCGGGTCCGTCGCCTCCGCCCAAAACTAGGCTGGCCGGCGCCGGGGAAGCTTTGAGCTACCCGCCCGGCGCTCCCCACCCCCACACAGCGCCGGCACAGCCGAGCTACACGAAAACTCAAATAGCACAAGTTCTCAGCTCCGCCGCCGCTCCCTGGATGGCGAACTCGAGGTCGCCAGCGGTCTTCGCAAGGATGGCGCAGATTCTGGCCGCCGGTGAGCGTACTCTGGTCCAGCCCATCGCCTCGGCCGTGGCCAGGTCGCCGCGGGACACCGCATCCGCCACATTGGCCTTGGAAGGTACCCGCCGGAAACCGGGCAGCCAGTTCATCTCCGCTGCCTGGGACCAGAACGCCGCCAGGACGCCGTTGACCGCGGGGTCCCTCCCGTAGCCCTTGGTCAGGGCCCACTGGCCGGCAACGTCGTCAATGAACGCCAGCCAACGTTCCGGCAACCGACGAGCCAGCGTTGTCAACGCCAGGACCTGGGCGACAATCTCCAGCACATAGATGAAGGCCCGCCTGGAGCCGAACGCCACCAGGAAGGAGGCCGGCGCCTGGCCGTAGTCATAGTAGGTCTCGCCGCCGACTCTGACCACGTATCCCCAGCCGTTCTTGCCGCGTGCCCCCTTTGGCGTGGGCAGGTCCGCCGGCAAGAAGCCCGCCTTGTGCTTGACCTCGCCCGGCTGGAAGAACGCGTCCGCGTACACCAGGGCCTGCGGGGCGCCGTCGTCGACGAATGGCACAAAGCGGGGCCGGATGTTCCCGAGGAGCTGCCGGAGTGCCCGGAGAGCCGCCGCCAACCCCAGCGACAGTTCTGGGGACGACTCCGCCGCCGCGTCGTGGGCTCTGGCGTAGAGCGGCTTCAGCGCCGCCTTGCCGAGGCAGCCGAATGTGGACTGGGACGCGAAGCTAAGCCTGCCCGCCAGCTTCTGCGCCGCATGTGGCTGAAGGGCATTTGTCTCCAGCGCCGCCTCGATGGCCCGGAGGAGTTTGGCCACCCTGGAGGGGGTAGGCCGCAGGGACACGCCGTCCGCCTCAATCGTCATTTCTACTCCTTGGACCACGTGCCGGACCGCCGGCTCCTGGGCCTTCGACGGTTTGGTCTGCAGGCCGAGCTCCAGGAAGAGGTCCGCCAGGGAGTGGAAGGCCGACTCCGCGAGCTCCGGGAGGTCGACGCCGTTGAAGTCGTCCACAAAATGGCCGCCGACCAGCCACAGCAGAACGCGGGTCAGCGCCTGCATTGCATCCGCGGCCCTGTTAAAATTCCAAACCGACGCCGCGGCTCCGAAACACATGGCCAGGTGAAACCAGAGTGTCAGCCCAGCCGGTGTCGCCAGGAACGTGCCGGAGTGGGCCGGGTGCCGGACTGCCCACTGCCGGTAGGCGTTGAGCAGGTCGTGCCCGAACAGCCTGGCCGCCGGGACCCCACGATTTCCTGCCAGTTCCACCACTCGCCGGATGAAGTCCACCACGTCGTCCACGAAGTGGTGGGTGGGAACGTCGTGCGCCAGGATCGTGGAATTGTGTCCCGAGCGCCGCCAGTCTTCCCCTCGACGCACCTTGGTGTTCCCCTCGCCGTCCTCCTGCACGATGGCAAAGGACGCCGCGGCAAAATGGCGGCCCGGGGGCGGCGGTACCAACCGGTCGGCGCCGGGCGTGTTCAGCACCGGCACGGTGACGATGTTCCATCCCGCCGGCGGGGCCGTTGGTCCGACCACCCGGCCAAGCCTGGCCTCCGCCACGAGGAGGGTCTCCCAGTGCTCGCCGGGCTTCGCTGCCGAGGCGCGCTTCCGGACGTACTCCCAGTTGGTCGCCGCTAGCTGGTCCAGGGACACCGGGTTCTGGTAGCGGCCGTCTTTCCGGACCTTCCAGCCGGGGCCGCGCCGCACCTCGCCGAGCATGTCGAATCCCTGGGTTAGGTCCGCCGTGAGGCCCTCGATGTCGGGATAGCCCACCACGCCGAGGAGTTCCAGCAGGACCGGGATTTGCGTCGGCCGGTCCTAGCTTGTCCGCCGTGGCGTAGGTGCTGTGCACGCACCGGTGCCGGGCGCTGGGCCAGCCAGGCCGCCGTCTCCTCCGCGCGGTCCGCCACCATCTCTCTGATCTCCTGCAGCACCTCGCCGCGGATCCTGACCACGGCGTGGCGCCTGGTGGCCGCGAGCTCCATGACGCGCTCCACCGCCGGCTCCAGGCTGGGCCGCCGGGTGACCGTGCAATGGCTCAGTTGAAGCGCCTGCCGCCACTACTCGTCGGGGTCGTTCTCGGGTAGCCAGGCGAGGCGGGGGGCTCATGTCCAGGGGCCCGACTGAGAGGCCATCCACGCCACCGTCGTGGTCCTCGGTGCTGCCGGCACCGACGCCTCCGCCGGCTGCGCCACCGGAAGGGCCATGAGCATGGCCAAGAGGCGCCGGGCCACTCCCCAGTGCCACCCATTGGCCACCATGTGGTGGAGAGCCTCCTTGACGCCGACGGGGATGTTGTGGAGCCGGCCGGCCTCATCATGTAGCATCGCCTCCTCGGTGTAGTGCCAGGGGGCGAATTGCCGGAATTCCCCCACCCAGCTCTCGCCGGGATCTTTACCCTGGCTCTCTTCGGCGCCGGGCGGCCGTTCTCATCTTCCGCCAAAGCAGCCTGCTCGACGCCACTGCCGGGTGAAAGGCCATGCCCTCCGGGAGCAGCGTGCCCGCCGCCGCCCTGGCCTCCTCCAGCCGGAGACGATGGAATGGCCCCTTCTTGGTCCAGACCAGGGGGGCGCCGGTGGCCGGGTCCTCCGTGTGCTGCCGGAGGTCCGCCGAGAGCCACCACAGTCTCGGCCGCGAGATCCACCCAAAATCGGAGGCGCATACCAGGCCGACGCCGGCTGCATGACCACATTCTCAAACATGAAGCCGACCCGCCAACCACGAAGCGCCGCCCTCAGCTCCAGGACGAACTCCGCCGAGCGCAAGAACAGGCTGCCGCGAGTGGCGCTGTGGCCAGCCTCTGCGCCGATTTGGGAGAAATCTTGGCAAGGGGGCGCCGCGATGAGGAGGATCACACACTCACCGGCCGGGTCCAGGCGCCTGATCTCCGCCGCCACCTTCTCCACCGAGTCCGCGGTGAAGTCGCCCCTGCCGGAGCCAGGGCAGCCGGATGGATGTCAAGCGCCGGCAAGTCTTGTCTGTCTCCCACGCCATGGCCGCCCACGGTGTGCCGAAGAGGTCCTCGAGGATCGCCGGCGCCGTCAAAGAGGGAGAGCAGGATGTACTTGCCGTTTCTGCGCGCCGGCCTGGCCGGCTTCAACACCACCGCCTGCGCGGCCGGGCTCCGGTCGGGTACCCCACCCGAGGCCGAAGCGCCGGGCGGGGCCCCGTGCTGTCCCTAGCGGCCCTAGCGCCTGCGGGCGGTCGCCGTCCTGCGCCTGGGAGTCTCTCTTCCCGCCGCGGTCCTGCCACGACTGGGCCCGGTCGGCATTAGCCCACCGCCGATCATCATGCCAGTCCTGGCAGTCCTGGCGGCCGGGCTGCTGGTTGGAGTCGCCCCGAGGGCGCCAGTTCTGCCGCCAGCGGCTGTCCGAGCCACCCTCATCACCGCGGTGCTGGTGCTGCTGTTGCGCCTGGCGGGGGTTGTTGCGGGGCCGCCGGTTCTTCTTGATCTTCTGCGGCCCGGGCCCGGGCTGGTACCCCTGGTGCGCCGCGGGGCCTGCCGGCCGTCCGTCTCCGGGTCTGGCGGGTTGAAGCCCTCGCTGACCTTGTTCCTCGCCGGAGGCCGCGGCCGTAAAAGGATGTCCAGGAACGCCGCCTGGTCCTTCATGATCTCCGCCGTGACCTCCTCAAACGTCCGGCGGAGGCGCATCTGCATTGCCAGGCGCCGGGAGGAAGCGTCCCAGTACTCCGTGATCGCCTAGAGCTGGGATGGGCGCTGCCGGGCCTTCGACGTCCACCACTGGGCGTACTCCGCCGCCCCCTTCTCCCTGTGGCCACGCCGGTGAGGGTCCACGCCCAGCGCACTGCCTCGATGCCGTCGATGACGCCGAGGACCCCCCTCGGGGTCCAAGGGTCCTCCCGGTCATGGACCAGTGCGCCGTCCACCAACCGGATCGCCTGGCCCCTCTCCTTGTGGCGCCGGATCGCCAGCGGGTTCACCTCCATGGCCGCCGTGAAGGTGCGCCACTGCAAGATCTCTCCCAAGCCGACCGCCGTGTACTCCTTCGACTTGGTGTGCTCGAAGTACATGCGCGCCAGCACCTCTTCCGCGCCGAGGAGGAGGGTCGTGGGGAAATCCCGGGGCGCCGGCGACCGTCACCTCTTTTTACCGCTTGACCAGCGGCCCCCACTCCGGGAACGTCTTCGGCGGCTTGTCGCCGGGAAGGGCCGGCACCACCGCTCCAGGGGAAGCCGCCGACGATGCCGGCGTGGTCGGGGGTGGCCCACTGCTTGTGCGCCTCGGCCCACATGTGGTGCAGGATAGCCGCGATCTCCACCCCATCCAGGAAAGGCCGGACGACGCGGTCCTCAAACTTTGGCCAGGAGTGTGCGATGAGGGCCAGCGTCGCCGTGCGGTTCAGGTTGCGGGCCGCCAGGTAGGCCGTGAGTTGAGGGCCGGCCCCCGCCGCCGCCGCCAGATCCACGACCACGAACGGCGTCATGATGGCCGGCGCAGCTGGGGGCGCCGCAGGCGCCGCAGGAGCCGGGGGAAAGCCCGGAGCCGCCATGACAGCCGCAGCACCGACGAGGGGAGACCTAAGCAGAGGCACGCCGAGGGCGGGCGACAAGGAGAGAGCCAGAGAGCTATCGCCGCAGGTGATGCACTCAACCGCCAGCAAGGGAGGCACTGCCACAGCCGCTCACTATGCACTGGCTTCGCCGGCTGTTTTCTCACGATGAAGAGCTGTCCGACTCGGACGCCGAGCTGGACGTGAACCTTCACCTTCCCCTCGAGCCGGCGCCGGGAAACAGCGGGCGCACCATGCGGCGGACGCCGGCTTCTCGGACACTCTAAAGAAGCGCCGGATGCCATACGGCCACGCGCCGCACCTTGACCTCCACAGGAATTGCTCCGTGCTAGCTTCCGCCGGATCAGGGCGGTGCACCTTCGCCCCCTTCTCGTTGTAGATGAGGTCTTCCCGCGCCGGCGGGTGTCCACTCCCACCGTGCGCCGGCTTCACCAGCTGCACCTCCGGGGAGAACTCTGCCTGTCCCCGGCGACACCTCCTGCACCGGGGGATCCGGGATCTGTGGGCTGGGCGCCACGCCCCCAGCCGTGGCTCGCCGAGCCTCATCGTGCCGCCCGTAGCTCCCAGCCAGGACTCTGCCGGGGATCTCCGGGGCCACCGCCAGCGGGGCCCTGAACATAGCGCTCCACCGCCGTGGAGGACCAACGACCCAGCAACTGGATGATCGCCCCTTGGACGCAAGCCAGGCCGGCCGGCGAACAGCTGCACGATCTGGCCTCGTGGTCGACCGTGGTGAGGGCCACGCCGGCTGCCAGCAGCACCCGCCGGAAGAGCAGGACGGTCTCACCTTTGGCCCAGGTGGCGCCCGCCGCATCCGGGAACAATGGCCCGCCCTCGGCGCCAGAGGCCCGCCGCCTTCAGCCGGGACACATGGCGCAGTGCAGCATGTGCCGGGCACATCGGCCGGGACTGGATGCCGCAAGCGCAGCGGAGCTGCCGCGCCGTGAGTTCTCTCTCACCACCCTGCGCCGTCTTGTGCAGGGGGATCCGAAGAAGGACCCAGTCCTCGCCGGCCTCAATGTCCTCAGTGCGGGCCGCCGCGAATTCGATTTCCCGCAGCATGAACCACACCGCCAGGAGGAGGGCATCCGCCGGGCCCACGGCTCCGCAGAGGACGCCGGCGAGGGGTCCAGCAGAGGCTCCAGCCGCATCGCCGGGAAGATCGCCTTGAGCTTGGACCCCGCAAGGCCACGTACCACCGCCTTGGCGTAACGCCGGATGGCCCGCCGGACGAGCGGCGCCGCGGAAGTGGAAGTAGTTTTGCGCCGAGCAGTACCTACCCTTCCGCATGCTCGCCGCGACCTTCCTCACTGAGTCCAGGGAGATCGGCCACGCCGGCAGGGCCCAGGCCGCCGTGAAGTCCACCCAAGTTCGGACCTGGACCGGAAGGGTCCTTCAGAGGAGCGCGCCATGATAGCGCCGTCTAGGTCCGCCAACGACTCCGCCTGGAGCTCTGCTCGCCGACCATCGCGCCGCACCGGGATGTCAGCCCTGACCGGCTGCGCCTGGCACGGCTCCACTCCACCATGCGCTCGGGTGGCTCGCCTTGCTCGCCTGAGGGCCACACTGCCGGCAGGATCGGCAGGAACTCTTGAGCCTGGATGTCGACGAAGGCCCGCGCCCTGCGCGAACCCGCCGCCGGCCGAGAGGTCAACCGCCGACATCCTTGAACCGGGGGGGGTCTTGAGCCGCTACGACCTCAACGAACGGGCCACGACGATTAGGGGAGGAGGGGCCGGGCCGGGTGGGCGGCAGCACGGGCCTCCCGACCTGCACTTACGGCACGCCGGGAAGCAACGGCAGAAACTAATTAAAGCATCGTGGGCCTCGGAGAGGCCCGCGAAGGCATCGCGGCGCCGCCGGGACCAAAAAGGGAGGGAAGAAACCGGCTAAGGGCTACGCCAGGAGACCAGAGGTAGGGCTCGCCGAGGTCAAAGTAGCCCGCCGGCGGGTGGCACTAGAACCGGCCGTCACGCGTGTTCCGGTAGCGCCGGCACGCATCGCACAGGTGGTTGTTGTGCGCCTCCAGGTCCTCCGTGCCACCACGCCGAATCAGAACCGGGCGTAGGCATCTGCCGCCGGGGCTTTGGCAGACGCCTTCAAAGCCGGGGCATGGCCGTCCACACCAGCCCACGCACCAGACCTCGCCGGCCAGCCGCTCAGGGATGCGACCGCCGCGATGGTTAGGCACCAGCGAGCGGACTATGTAATCCGCTGCGCCGGGCGCCGTGGGCACCACGGCCGTGGCTGCACCGCCGTCAAGCCTCGCCCGGTCTTCGAGCTCCTCGAGGGCCTCCACCGAGGCGACGATGGAGGCCATCATCGCCGCCGGGACCGGGATATCCGAAGAGGCGCCAGGCTGGTTAATCCGCCGAATGTGGTTCTGCCACTCGACGGAGCAGAGCCTGAAGCGAACGTCCACCAGCCGCCGAAAGAGCTCATCGTTGTGGCGGCGCTCTGCGTCCGTCGCCGTCCGGCGCCAGGACGCCGTGGCAACTCCGGGAAGCCCTCCCCCGTGGTCCGGTTGACCGTGTAGGTAACGCCGCGAATCTCCATGCGGACGAAACCGGGCGGGACGGGCGCCTGGGCAGCGGGGCCGGTGGAAGCCGGCTGTGCCGGGGCCCCCGCCGCGATCTCTGCTGCAATCTGGTTCTGCAGCGCCGTCATCTCCGCTGAGTTGGGGGCCGGCGTCTTCGCCACCGGAGCCGGCTTCGCCGGCGGGAAGGATGACTGCTTTGCGGAAGCCGCCGCCCAGGCCGCGTAGAACTCCGCCGCGGAGACAAAGTTCAGCTCCCTGGCCTGCCGGGCATCCGCCTCCGAGTTGAAGCCCTCGGACTGCCACAAGGCCACCGGCGGCCCCTTGGGCATGGGCTTAGCCGGGATCGCCGCCGCCTGCGGCTGCTGCTGGCCATCAACATGACCCGCCGGCGCAGGTGGAGGCCGCTTCTGCAGCGGTGGCACCGGCCAGGGTGCCGGGTAGCCCTGTACCTGCGCCGCCGCCGGCGGCTCCGGGTTAGGCTCCGGGACGGTGGGCCCTGCCGCACTGGACGCCGCCACATCGTTAGAACCAGAGGCACCAGTGCCGCCGGGAGCTCCATCATTTGACCCGGAAGCGCCACCAGTGCCGGGGCCAGCTGCCGGCTTCTTTGCCTTAGGCATTGCCGGGTTCGCATTCCCCGCCGTCCGGCCCGGCAAGGACGCCTGTAGCATCAGCATCAAGGACCGCCGGGGACCCGGCGGGCACTGCTGGAGGTAGGGACCCAAGTCCTCCCCTTCCTCCAGCACCGCCAGGATCACCACAAAGGCCGCCTCGATGTCTGCCGGCGAGAAGGACATGGCTCAGCCGGGAGGATGCTACAAAACGCCTGGTCACCGAAAAAGCGACGTCGAGCCGGAGCAGCTGCCGGCACGACGAGTCGCTAATGTCCATGCGCACACACGTGTGCTACACCACAAGACCTTCTCCGAGGCCATCACATCCCAGTGTGACACGTGACAGGAATATCGTGGCGCGTTCGCCGATGCTGCCCTGGCCACTCTCATTTCGCACTCCGGGTTCCTTAAGGGCATTGCACGTCTGGGGAGGGTGAGAGCCTGAGCAGGTAACTCATCCAAAAGACTGCATCTAAAATCAGAACAAAATTCAAGGAAAGCATTTGCAAAGCAGTTTGGTCATCAACAGCGTAACTTAGTAACAATCAGCAACTAATGTCTTCAAGTTTCAGCGCTGTAAGGGGCCTCTTTGAATCTAATTAGATGAGGCGAACCTATACATCCTCTTACCCAAAACATCCTTCTACGGTTCGTAACAAATTGGAAAAAGAGTTCAGATGTGTTAACATCATCCGGCATCTCGAACCTTGGCGGATTTCCGACAACGTTGTGCAAACAGGCAAAGAGCTTTTCTCAGAAGGGAGTCCACGTTGGCCCAGAATTGTAGACGAGATCCCCACGAAGCTAGAATTCGGGGCTGCGTTCTCGGGATGGCTGGGCAGCCAGGCCTTGTATCAAAACGCACAGCAAAGCTTGCGGGTGGCTTACAGGCTACGGCGCGTGCAACTCTCGTTTTTCGGGGCACAACTGCGGTTGTGACTATAAAATGGAAGAACTGCGACCTGAAAAGGGTGCACAGTCCAGCACTGAAATTTCAGAGCGTTTTGGAAGGCCTGATTTGAGCCACTACTACTTAGTAAACGATAGCTAAGCACACATCCTTAAACTCCTCGGACTGAAACTCCGAGAAAGCATCTGGAAAGTGTAAGCCTTGCATGGTGAAAAACTTCCCAGGGTCTGGCCCATTGGCCGTGCAAACGTGTCGGCAGGGCATAGCCTGGCTGGTTGTACCTCGCATGTCCGTAACTGAGCCAAACCAAAATCAAAAACAAAAGATGCTCAGGACGGCCAAGCTAAGGCCGAGACTGCCCGGCGTACTGGTCGGCCTTGCTGGCCATGTCCTGTTCTTATTGTACCACGCACCGTCCCTGAGAACGACCCCATGTTTACTGCGAAGAAGCGCAAAAACACACGAAAGGTCCGCGAAGTACGTCCCTGAGCCATACATGCCCTTCACGCTGCCGAGCCTTGGCAAGACTGACCCATGAAAACAAGAATCCCAATGTCTCGGCATGACGATGCATGATCGAAGGGCTGTGCCTGTCATCGAAGCCAGCACTCTTTATGGCATATACCGGCGAGGTCTCCTGGTCACGTAAAACATGAAGACTTGTCGGACTCTCACGCAAATCTGAACTGCAATGTGGCACACTATGGCTATAGCACTCAACTCGCCCACCATCCGCAAACGAAAGCACTCGCCTGGGTGGGAAACAGAACCTGGCAAATCTGCATACATCATGTGCACAGTCATTCCGAGAGATGTTAATAAAAGCGAAGGCAGTGGAAGTTCAACGGATCACTGCCTTTTGGCATACTTCAGTGCCCGGAGGCAGGCACAGCCCGAGACATAGCTTGATGCGGTGATGAGAGTCTGAAATAGCACAATAGCCTTGCGCATTCCCATACGACTGCAGTTACCGCGGCAGCCCTTCATGCATATCTACGAATCAATGTCTATCAGGCGATCTGTTGTGAACCCTTCGGTGCCTGCCCTGTCGCCGGATGCCTGGCACCGATGCCAGGGCTTCCGTGGAACCTCGGATCGCAGCACGAGAGCTGGCAGAAGGAGCTGTCGCACATCACAATGCGCACGTGACATACGTGACTTGAGGGCGTGACATTAACCTCTCGTTGCGCCCGGTGTCCAAGTGCAAGGACTTGATCTCGGAAGTCCGGTGCTTTCAGGGTCTTGCTCGGCTTACTCTTGCTGACCCCACTCACCAGACCGAAAAAAGATGCTGACAATGGCAAATGGGCTGATGTGCTCAATACTGCGCTGTGAGGCCAGGGTCCAAGCAAAGTCTTTCACCGAGGCGGCGCCATTTCGGTGCTGCAAAGGCAGGAGGATGGATAAGACCGCGTTGATTCGTCGCACAGCGCCAGAAAGCCACGTGCACACTGACTTACACCTTACAAGAGCACATCTCGTCACTTGCGCTCTGGAAAATCCTGCCTTGCCGTGGTCGATAGAGGATCATGTCACATTGGCTCCGAGTCTTCTTACAAGCAGCACGACCTACTTGTGGAGTGGTCGTTTGAACCAGCATTCATCCCCCTGGTCTATGGTCCCACGCATTAAACGAGGAAACCCCTTTGTGGCCCACCTCGTGAACACTCTCGATGGCCTTGCCAAGAGCTGGGGTTTTCTGAACAGCTTCGTGCAGAGCGACCCGAGAGTGAGAGTGAGTGAGAGCGAGTGAGAGCGAGTGAGAGAGAAAAAGAGAGAGAGAGAGAGAGAGAGACAGACAGAGAGACAGAGAGACAGAGAGAGAGAGAGAGACAGAGATATCGCCACTCTAGATTGCCAGCTCTTGTACTTGGCCCGGTGCTACACAGGAAGACGGCTGCAACGATGACACCCGAAACTTCACCAGGTTCAAGACGTCTAGCTAGCGATGCTGCCTGATGCTGTCCGGCCTGCAGCGCCTCCTGTGTGCGCTTCAGCTCGGCGCGACAAGGAGCGCCTTCCTGACAAGCCGCGACAGAACCAGTCCGCAAGTCCGCAAAGCGTCGACTGTCTAGCATGTGCAATGAAACCTGCGGAACGGTCAGCTATGAGATGCAGTGCTGTAACCACTACACAGCACAAACCGCGCATCTAACAAAGGCAATGTGGCCGCCTTTTCCATTCGCCTGATGGTGGCCTGCGACGCCCATCATGCATATCTTATTCTTGGCAGCTACTCTTAAACAAGATGCATCCAGCAGGTGCGAGCTCAGACATAAGATCATAAGATCACACAACGCACCTTGCAGCTCCCAACTTGAAATGGCACGTGCTGTCTCAGATTTGCGAACCCGCCCTCTCTCAAAATGATCATGAGCTCGCTTTCAACGGCCACGCAAAACGGAGCTCCTGAGTTCGGCTGATGTTGCGCCGGAAGCGCACATAGTCCGTCCACAGCTTCCCGTTCTCCACCCTCGTCACCTGGAGGCTAGATTGTGGCTATTCGCAGTTATTCGCATCTTGCATTGCTCCATCTCCCTTAAAGCCTTGATACCGTGTCCACACATGTAACCGTCCCAGTGAGCCAACGCCAGCCCAGCCGATGCTCCCCTTGGCCTGCAGGACACGAAAGGATTTGTGTGTGGCCCAGGAGCCATCGCGTCCGATGCCCATAGCCTCCTCCGCTCTTTTAGTCGGTTGGTATTGGCTAACCTACGTCACATGCCAGCGCGACATGCGAGACAAAGGGTGCAATTCTGAGTCAAATTCCTTCCGAGTGGTCATGTCGAAGAGCTGCTGCACTGTGTCACGAAGCTCCATGGTGACATCCACCTCCATCATGGGGTGTTTAGTTTTATCCTGAATGAAGCGACAAGGAAAACGGTTGTGCAATCTATGTATTCAGCAGCATTTCAGTCTTCTCGACGAAAGGAGCTAGGATGCCAAGCCGGAAATCCAGCACGAGAACCCGTCACGTTGTGAACTGCTGAGCTGATCGGACTGTGATCTGCTGTGAACCTGTCCTACTAGTAGGATTCACGAGCACTCCAATCCAGTTTGGTTTGCGGTTTTGTGTGAGGTAAGCTTCAGCCAGCAAGAGATCAACTCTCTTGCGCTGTTTGCTTGTAGAGCTTGGAGATAAGCTTTATGCCGGAAGGGATCCAAGGACACCTCTGTACATGGCAGGGGAAGCACAGTGCCAAAATCATAGTTAGTGCGACATGGATATGTGTGACGTCACGAAGCCACTGCGACCGGACAACAAGCCTCTGCTCGAAAGTCGTCATGGAAAGGATTCCAACTCCTCCAAACCCGGGGCCACAGTTCAGTCTGCAAGGCTTTCACAAGTACGCCATCCGACTGCCAAGAGTGTGAGCTGGAACAGTCCGGTATGTAGATCTTGCTGCAATTCGAAGGCCGCGCGATGGTCTACGACATCAAGGTGCCCGCCCAACCCCCAGCCAATCCTGCTCGTCCAGTAACCGGGAGGTCGTGGCTTCACCTTCGCGAAGAAAGGTACACAGGCGGGAGAGAAAGCAGCGGGCTGCAGCGCATGAGTGTGTATGAAAGCACTGCGACGAGGAGGAGCATAGGTCTGTCATGGTCTGTCTATGTCTTTTCCTTCTCGCGGGCACATAGAGCACAGGTCGTGCGGCTAAGCGCGCACGAAGACATCTCTCAAACTACAGCTCGCTTCACGTGCCCACCGTCGAACCCCATCGACAAGCACGGAGCCGGCTGTAGTCTCAGCTCAGAGCCAACCCCTTACACCTGGCTCTTGAGCGCCGTCAACACCTGCGCCTTCACGATCGTCCGAGCTTTCTGTGCCTTGATCTGCACCTCCTTCAGGGGTCGAGCGGGACCCTACCACAGCGGCTTGCTTGCCATGCACACGGATCGTCTCTGTATTCGTCGTTTTCACAAGTCCTTCCCGAACATCATGCGGGTGGTAGCCTTCGTCGCGGGCTTCTGACCTGATTCAGCTCGCCGCATGAGACAAACAGGCGTACGCAGGTCCCGCAGCCAGCTGAGCACGGGGCGCGTCTTGATCATGCAGAGCCCTGGCAGAACAAACCTGGGCAGTTCTGCGACTACCGGATTTCGAACGGCAAGAAGCGCAAAGAAGAAAGACCGAACCGTCAAGAGGCTTGCCGGTGTTGCAGACCTCGCTGGCACCGATCTCGGAGAGCCCCTGCAGAACCGACATCACATCCTGCCAAGACTCAGACTTGGCACTGAAATTCTTGGAGCTTCGACATCAAGTCAGAATGCATATACTCGGTAGGTATTACAGTACCCGACATGGGCAATACATACTCAACGTCCGAAGTGCAACTTGGACCAGAAGAGCGTGACCGAGCCCCTGCAGTGTCCTTCTTCTTGAGCTCCGACTTGGTTGCAAGCTGATCCGCAAGCTGTGCCTTGGTCATGGCCTTGGCTGCCTTCATGGCCGTGGACTTCATGGCGGACTTCGGCATGTCAGAACAGATCAGGACGCGTTGCGCGAGGCCCCTGGAAAGCTTGAGAGTCGACGGCTACGGAGCCACTCGACGTTTCTGCAAAGACCCCTCCGGTTCACGTTGGCTGAAGCTCTGACAAGTGAGGCTGCAAGCGAAGAATCTAGATGCAAGCGGCCGCAATTAGCTGAAGCCGGGCAGCCGCTTGACTTGTTTTGGACGAGCTCCATTGTCACAACACGCCACGCAGGGAAAAACGTTTTGTGACCGACACACCGATCGTTTCATGAGACCAGACCCAGTTTAGGGCGGTGTAAGGCAGCTGTACATGTCTGCAAGTGAACGGCATGCACACACTTCTTAAACTTACGTGAGCGCAGTTCCATGACCGCTGCGCCAGTGGTAAAAAGCGAAGTTAGGAATTGCAACACCACCGCGAAAGCCCGTGATGTGCTTCTCACAGCGACCGCAGCTTACGCTTCCGTCTTCGCCTCTTCTGCGGGCATCGGCAAGAGGCCAGGCTTCGTATCGTTGAGGGCACGCATGACCGACTCCTTGTAGCTCAAAGCTTTGGTGCCATGGCCGCTGCACGAGGCACAATCGTTGTCGACGAGTCCAATCTTCATCTCCATTTGAGGCGAGAACGTTGCCGTGATTTCGAAGGGCTTGGTGATCCCCTGTTTGACTGTGTAGATCGCGCTGATCTTGGCTTTGATGTACTTCTCCAGGGATCCCCAAACCAGTTCCAAGCCCTCGATGTCTCCTTGAACGATCATGGTGCTCGCCTGCGACTGCCACCCGGCGAAGAGGACCTCTTCAACCACCTCTCCCTGGTGGAACCTGTACTCAACAGGGACGCTCATGAAGACCCAAATCGGATAGACAATGCAAGCGACCACGAGGCCGGCCACGTTGACGTATTCCTCCACAGCAACCAACGGAAGCTGGATCGGAGAGAAGACGCGGACGAAGTCGCACAAGTCCACGCCGGGTTTCATGTCATGGGTGCATTTGCCCCTACCCGTGGCCATCGCCCAACCAATGATGTTTGTTAGAACAGCGAAGCAGTAGTAGCCGATAGCTGCTTTCAATACGATGAAGAGCACCTCCGTGTAGAAGTCGCAAGAGATGGGCTTGCGAGCAGTTGTTCCCTCTCCCTCGCCTCGGCGCGCTGCCAAGAGGCTTCCTAGTCGTCCCTCCATCAGGCTTCTTGAGCTCGCGGAGGCCGGGACCTGGGAGGGATACACTCTTACAGAAATGTCTAAGGCCCCTCCAACATCGCTGCCGATTCAAATTTGGCAGAGCTTCCAAGACCGACGCAAGCGCCAATTCGCGCCAACACGAACACAATCCGTGCTCTAGAAGTTTGGGCCTTGACACTTTTCCTCGACGTGCGGTGTCTACTCCGCACTGTCTGGCAAGATTTCAGTACAGTGTACAGCTTAATATATTGCTTTTGCATCATGCCTGGAGTCCGGGCCTCGGTCCCACCATCGACCTCCGCCACACCATCGAAGCCCTGGATGCTCACAGGTAGACGTTTTGCGAACTCCTTGTGAAGTGCAGGATTGCAGAAAGCTGTACAACAAGATTCAAGCAACTTTTCCAGTCTTGTGGGTAGCACAACCGATGGCTAGCAGCCAGCTGGCGCTCCTGCAGGAAGCTGCACTTCGCTTCGCCGCTGCCAGCGAGGACGGACATCGCGGCGTCCCCGCGGATGCTGAGAATCTGCTCCTTCTTTTTGCTGCTCCCGAAAAAGCCACCACCTCCACTTTTGGAGCCGTTTGGCGTCTCTGTGCAAACCCTGGCCTTGCTGGTGATCTCGAGGCCGGAGCTCGTGCTTTTGGCCTGAATGACATCGGCAAAGAAGCTGCACTGGAAGAGCCTTCCGTGCCAGGACTCGACCACGAAGAGGTTCTCGTGGAAGGTCACCTTGGAAGCCAGCTTGCCAAGCTCCGAATACAAGATGCTCCCAATCGTCACGAGAAAGAAGAATACATTCACCGCCACTTCTATCCAAAAGCTCGAGCACATTTCGTCGAAGTCTTCTTGCAGCATCGAAGACGCTTTGTTGTCGAAGCAACGCAGCTCGATGGAGAGCACCAACGCATTGACCATCTTCGCGTTGCATGCAGTGTCCCCGTCTGTTTTCCAGAAATCCTGGCCGCAGTTCTTCATCATCATGTTTACCAAAGCCCACACAAAAGCAATGCCTGCACTAGTGATGTAGGCCAAGACGATCCCGACCCCGACTACGATCATGAAGTTGATGTAGAAGTCCGAGCCGGTCGGGACTGAGAAGGTTGCCGGCATGCCGACGCTTTGTGCTTGATTCGCGGGGCTCCCAGATGCCTTCCCCGACGTTCGTAGTGCAACCATGATTTCGCGGATGCTGTTCATCGCCGGACTGCCCTCCAGGCTAGCCAGGATCACGCTGTCGTTCTCATTCTCCACAGCTTGCTTTTCGGCCTCCTCGCCCGGCGGTTGCCCGGCCGACACGGCATCCTCCATGGTGCCTGCGCCCTGCGCTGCCACCTTGGGCGGAAGCGCAAGGCCGCAAGGCAGCTCTGTTACTGCATCTAGCAAGGATGAGCCGAGTTGCCAGCAGGCACATTTCGATTCTGTCTGCATGACGTGACCAGTGAGTGCATGCGCCACGCGGCCGATGTTTCTCGCGGGCACATAGAGTACAGGTCGTGCGGCTAAGCGCGCACGAAGACATCTCTCAAACTACAGCTCGCTTCACGTGCCCACCGTCGAACCCCATCGACAAGCACGGAGCCGGCTGTAGTCTCAGCTCAGAGCCAACCCCTTACACCTGGCTCTTGAGCGCCGTCAACACCTGCGCCTTCACGATCGTCCGAGCTTTCTGTGCCTTGATCTGCACCTCCTTCAGGGGTCGAGCGGGACCCTACCACAGCTGCTTGCTTGCCATGCACACGGATCGTCTCCGTATTCGTCGTTTTCACAAGTCCTTCCCGAACATCATGCGGGTGGTAGCCTTCGTCGCGGGCTTCTGACCTGATTCAGCTCGCCGCATGAGACAAACAGGCGTACGCAGGTCCCGCAGCCAGCTGAGCACGGGGCGCGTCTTGATCATGCAGAGCCCTGGCAAAACAAACCTGGGCAGTTCTGCGACTACCGGATTTCGAACGGCAAGAAGCGCAAAGAAGAAAGACCGAACCGTCAAGAGGCTTGCCGGTGTTGCAGACCTCGCTGGCACCGATCTCGGAGAGCCCCTGCAGAACCGACATCACATCCTGCCAAGACTCAGACTTGGCGCTGAAATTCTTGGAGCTTCGACGTCAAGTCAGAATGCATATACTCGGTAGGTATTACAGTACCCGACATGGGCAATACATACTCAACGTCCGAAGTGCAACTTGGACCAGAAGAGCGTGACCGAGCCCCTGCAGTGTCCTTCTTCTTGAGCTCCGACTTGGTTGCAAGCTGATCCGCAAGCTGTGCCTTGGTCATGGCCTTGGCTGCCTTCATGGCCTTGGACTTCATGGCGGACTTCGGCAGCATGTCAGAACAGATCAGGATGCGTTGCGCGAGGCCCCTGGAAAGCTTGAGAGTCGACGGCTGCGAGGCGAGGAAGCTATACACGCCTTTACCGTAACCGGTACCGTTGCTGCGTTGGAGACAGAGCTGATGTCCCAAAGCAACTGTGCAATCCTGTGGCCGTGGCCTTGCCACCGATCAGGAAGCAGCTCGAACCCAAAGCGGCCAACACAGCAATGAACAAGACGGCCTCAGAGCCGGGCTTGGGGATTGGCAAATGGTGTATGGGCATCATCTATCTGAGCTGTGGAGTGTCTGACATACACGGACTGAGACCAAGACTCCAAGAACAATCTCGAAGTGCCTGTCGGCATCCACCTCTTCTGCATCAGTTTGGCACTCAAAAAAACTCGCACGTGTCCCAAGGCTGATCACTGTCCTTATGACTGCATGTGCTTATCATGCACTGAAGTCTGAATTGGTACAGAAATCATCCTACACGTTCCGCCTCCCCCACCGGCTGAAACCAGCGGAACCTCACTTGATACCACTGTAGAATCGATACATATCCCAAAAGAAAACAAAGAAAACTCAAACGTAGGGTGCTCAAGCCTTGTCAAGCCTCGGCCTCGGCCTTTTCATCAAGGCCCCAGGACCCCCACAGGCCCTGCAAGGCCCAAGGCCCCCACCATGTTTTTGAGCAAGTCTACAGCGCTGTCGCAGTCAGGGTTCTGCGGCTTCGGCACCTCAAAACCATCCGTCGCTCCAGGGCATGCTCCGTCGTTCTCTTCTGTTTATCTTCCCCAGGTGAACCTTACAGTGAGCGGCAACGACTTTTCAGGAGAACGTCCGCGAGGCTGGCCTGGCGACTCGGGTACCACCAGTCGTCGTCTCCGTCAGCCTGGTCAGGGCCTAACCCTCGCATCGTGCTGGGGGGGGGGTTGTGTGAACAACATTGAATACCCCTCAACCCGGCCTTCGCTATGATGTGCAGATGCTGCCAGGAGAAGCCCTTTGGGAAGCGCAGGTGGGCACGGCTGCCGGACTTTCGAACTTCAAGGCTTTTGCACGTTATGAAAGAATACCCGAATACGACGCGACGGCTTTAGGCTGGTCCTCATTCAGCACAATCAATTTGATTCATAGTGGACCAGGAATCGCAATGAAATCAAGGAGATCCACAAACTTGGATTGGGCCTGGGCAAAACCTACTCCATCGCAGCTGCGAAGCTGCGAAACTCGACAGAAGCGGCGAAACTGCACGTGCCAGGCCGTAACACAAGTGTCATGAGTGATGCGTATCAGTGAATCAGTCCCGAGCACGGGCCCCAAAACCCATAACCTTAAAAACCCTAAACCCGAAATCCTCCAAAACAATCGCAGCTTCGAAGCTTCACCCCCCCTAAGCCCAATCTACGAAGAAACCGCTTGATTCTTACCTGACAATCGAGGACGCCTCACTGCGACGGGCGATGGCCTGAGCTCAGTTGGGATTTGCCAGGGACTAGCAGGTGTTGACAGGGCCTGCACGAGACTTGACTTGAAAGGTAACTTGAGGGGCAAGCCGAGGGCGATAAAAGCTAGCTCTTGACCCCCACACAGGTGTTGTCTCGGCACAGAGACACAGAGAGAAATAAGAGGAAGAGCAAGAACAGAGATAAAAAGAAGTGAGGTCCCTTGTTTATCAATGGTTCTCTGCTTTCCAGACGTTGATCTGCCTTGCTAATGCGCCAACTCACGCATAGCTCCGCTCGCCTTCGTGATCAGTGATTTTCGTAAACGTCCGGTTCAGCCAATCAGACAGATGATGGCAGATGCGGCAGCAAAGCTCTCTGCCCTCACCGGCGCACAACTCGCAGCACCAAGTTGCCCGGGTTGCCCTACGAGTACTTCGGGAACCAAACATCAATCCCGAAAATCCAAACAGAACTCCGAACGATTTTCCTTGCAGCTGGGGCTGAGGCATCTTCCCGGAATGAACTGACGCAGGGAAATGTCTGCACCTCAAGTGGACGGGGTATTTGCTTCCGGGAATCGGAATCCGAGGCTTCTGGAGTAAGGAGTCTGATATGCTGAGGATGGGGCCAACCATCCGAAAAAGGCGAGGCGCGAGGTACCCCTGCACACAGCTCCAGCATGCTCCCGCTTTGAATTCCAAGCTCCAGCCTCATCCGCCAAGGTCCCCGGGCCGCTGGTCCATGGTCTGCAAACGTCTGCAAGCTGGGAAGCGTGCAGGGCAGCTCTGCATCTGCCTCTGAGTCCACTCTTGCGCTGGCTGAGTTTTTGTCCGGGCGAACGATCCGTCAGGTTTCCTTTCCGAATTTCCTTGAGACGCTACGATCCGTGCCCTGCAGTCTTGCCAAAGGTTACAATCTGGTTGGCAAACAACGATCTCACTGGAGCCTGGACAGCACGGCGGTGGCAACGTAATCAAAACTCGCGGTCTTCAAGCTGCTCCATTCAAAGCTAGACGAGAAATGACGAGAACACAATGGGTTCCAAGCCGCTTGCACGGCCCAGTCAAGTGATGAGTGCAGCGATGGATGCTCAAAGCTTAAGCAGCTTGGGCTCAGATACACAGCACATATTAATATTGATCCTCTGGATCGTCGGGCGGCGTCATTTGGAAGTTTTCCGGCTTTTTCCGACCTCTGGAACATATATTCAACTGCCGGAAGCATCCTGAAGCCGCTGACTCGCCAAGCCAAGGCGAGCTGAGATGCGGATGGCCAGCTTGAGTCGGCTCGGTACTGGCTGGAGGAAGTCAACAGGAATCTGAGCTTCTTCTGTGTGCGCTTGCGGGTGTACTTGGAAACGTCCGGACGACAAACTCCACTGACAGGCGGTTGTCTTGCAACTGGTACTGTATGTGCCGCGATCCGTGCCGCGATCCAACGTGGCCCCTGCGCCTTCGCCCAGAACATCTTCGGTGAACTGGTACAGTTGTTGCTCTGCTCTCTCTTTCAACAGTGTTCCGGAGGAGCGCACCACCCTTGGGCGTGCCCATCTGCCCGAAACCCGATTGCAGAACCCATCGTTCTATGCTAGACAAAGCGTGCCTCCACAGACATCAGCGCTGCATGAAACTGCATCAGCACCAAATCGGGGGACTTTTCTGGTAACTGCAATTCGGGTATTCCCTTTCTGGGTTTCTTCCATACCGCTCCCATAGCTCTCCCATACTGCTTCTATAGGACTATGCTTTACCTATCCTTATGGGAGTGATATGGGAGATATTTGGAAGCCGTTGGCAGAACTCCGTTCTACGATGGAGGTCGCCTATGGAAGTTGCTGGGCCTGCGAGCGTTCTCGTTCCGGACTCGCATGTAAGACGATGGGCTTGTTGCAGGGCTCGTATGTAAGATGAGAAGCTGGCTTCACATAGCTCTCTGATAGCTCTCCCATGGCTCTCCCATGGCTCTCCCATGGCTCTCCCATAGCTCTCCCATGGCTCTCCCATGGCTCTCCCATAGCTCTCCCATAGCTCTCCCATGGCTCTCCGATGGCTCTCCCATAAGAAAAAGTATCAAACGCATGACGAGATAATGGACGCTCAGCCACGGAAGAGCTAATTGCCCGAATCCCCCATAAGAACCAGCCCACCTCCCATAAAGGGAGTACCTGATTTGGAGGTTCCAGAAAGATGCTTCGACCAAAGCCTCAACCAAGCTAAGCTCTCAGCACACCTGAGTAGGGGAACAGCATTCTCCTCATTCAAGACCAAGTCCTGTGCCATTATGGCATGCTCACTTTGCGACTTTGCCACGGGGCCTGGGCCACACAGGCCTCGGAGTAGATGAAATCCAACGCTTGAGAGAAGAAGGGCCACACCTCAGAGCTTCGATCTTCGAATCGAATCTCCGAAGATCTTCGGGGTTCCCCGACCTGCTCGGGCAAGATGTGCGACAAGTCTGTCTCGAAAATGCGGCCACATCCTGTGTTGATGGGGAGTCTGTTTTAGCACGTGCTGCATCTGCCGTGGTCGCCGGATGCGGGTTTGATGCAGTCGGTTCCCCACCACTCTCGCTTCAATCACATCTGCATGATGCACGGACAGTGCCTCCACCCGATTCGTCATACATCCCGTCATACGTTCCGTAGGCCGCGGCCTTCCGATGCAGCGCGAGGTGCGCTAGGAAAGAAGACGGGGCTGGCAGAGGCTTGCACATGGCCCCCAGGGCTGCCAGTCGCCAGCTGCTGGCCGGTTGTGAAAGCCTCTGTCGCTCTCGCGGCGCTACGCCGCTACTCACAGTTTGGGGCCCTCGCACTGCAGAGAAATGCCGAAGCTCGTGGTCCATGGCCCGTCAAGACCTTTCCCGGGAGCACGCTTTGGACGGTCAGACGCCTTTCGCTCCTGCAGATGCTCCCGCCGGCCTTGTGGATGTCAAAGACCGAGGGGCCCAGTCGGAGCCGCCAATCCTGCGCCCAGGGCCCCGTCTCTGCCCTCTGCCCTCAAATGCCTCAAGCGTCAAGCGTGGCTGTTGTTGCAGTAGGTGTCGGGCACTGTGAAGCCCCGTACGCCAGGACGGCAGCTCCTGGAAGCCAAAGCCCAAATCAGCGCAAAGACTTCAGTTACACCCCAAAAGCACTGGGAGCCGCTCCGTGTCTGCATCCGACGGGAGCTCTGGAAATGGCACATCGACACGAGGAGACGGCTTCACCTGCAAGCCATGGTCCAGTCGAGCCAAGTCTTTCGTCCTTTGTGCGGACCGGCGCCTGCCACATGCCTGGTGTTGGCAGGGGGGGAATCATGGTGGCCTGGACAATCACAGACGGAATCACGCATGTCTCCCACAAAGGAAGGCCAGAAGCACAACGTGAATCCGCACCTCGACGGAGAGGCTCGACATCGGAGGGCGGCTTCTGCTTCCGCTCGCTGGCTCGCGGCGTTTCGGCGTCCCGTGGCTCCACAGCCCCGAAGAGTTTAGGAATAGTGAGTCTCTACAAGACGAAGATGTATTGACTGAGTGAGGATGGAGCCACGGGCCACCCAGTCCTGGAAAGGTGGAGCTTCAGACGACATATTGCGCGAACTCCAAAATGCCCTGACCCGTCCTGGAAGTGAAAGTTGGCGATGAAGTTGTGCAAGAAGTGTTGTGGAGTGGCGTGTAGTTTATGTTGAGTTCTCGTGCACTTCCTCTGAGCTACGACGAAGGCAGCCCAGTTGGCTTTCTGGGACTATATTCGGTTGGGCCTCTGCTGGGCAGTTCTCTCGAATAGTCGTGCTGAGCTAGGACCAGGATGAGTTACATGATGAACTTCAGATTTAAGCTCATATGAATCATAATCACTCTGTTCTGGTTGGCTGATGTTGGCTGCATTGTGCCGAGGCCCTAATGGGCTAGTTTGATGTGGGTGTTGAAAGGGTCTAAGCTCGCTGACAGCAAAGCTGTCCGCGAAGCGGAAGTGCCACAGCGTTTCGCTGCGGTCGCTCTTCAGAAGCCATCACGGCTGTCCTCGATGCACACGGATGTGCACATACGTGCAAATGCCACGCGGACGCTACGCACAGTTATATTATACCCTACAAAGGCTCCACTCCCTTCAGAGAGCTGAGGAGCCGGCAAGACGATGAAACAAAAATAAGACTGCCTCGGCTCAGCGGGGCAAGCCTCTCTAAAAGACACGGAGCAGTGACGCAGAGGTCCGCTGTCGTCTGAACCTCGACAAGTTGCCGCTTCAGGCTGGAAGCTCCTTGGCTCCCACGCTGCCAGTCGCTGCAATTCGGTTCCACTTCCAAAGCTATCCGGGGGTGCGGGTGGTGCTCTCACAAGCCAAGCGTCTGATTGCCGGCATCTGCCAGAATAAGGGTTGGCCGTTGAGCCAGTGCGGACGGAATGGCACACCGTTGCGGACACACCGTATAGCATCAGGGCAGTATCAGGCTTGTCTCTGCGGGTATTTCGGGTACACGAAGCCGTCCGCATCTCTAACATCTCGCTTCGGCAACAACTAATGAGGATACACGGGTGGCAACTCAACGTAAACGAACCTAGACATCAGATTGCCCGGGCCTGGACAGTGCCTCGAGACTCAGACGGCCCAACCCTCGCCGCAGATCCATCGCCTGCTTGCCTTTGTGGTCGAATTGCTCGGCACCGTTCTTCTTGTCCTTGCACCATCAAGGCACCGTCTTGCACGGTACATGTTGAAACTGACAGTTGCACACTCCCGACAGAACCGCGTCAAGTGTGAATATCACTCACCGCGGGCCCCAGGCGTAGAAGACAACGACTCCATGCACCTCCAACTCAGCTTGAAAGTATCAAGGGAAAACGACAGATTACAGTACAAGTTGAATCCTTGCCAACGTTACCACATCACCGAACCTGATCCTGCAGCTCGGCTCTGAGGTCATCGGGCGCATCGGTGGCAATGAAGACCTGGCAAGGGCACACTCAAGCTTGGCTGCTCCACTTCCGCTGTTCTCTCAGGCCCACCTGCTTTAGCCCTTCCCTCAGCGAAGCACTGTGCTTGCGATCGCTGGATGGGCGAGAGAGACCGCTACAAGGCACGCTTTCTACACTGACAAGCAGAAGGGTCAGCTCGCCATGATGGGCGGGCTCGGCGGGCTCGGGGGCACATCTCAGCTGCCAGCTGCTCCAGCACCTCGTTCAGCTTCCTTCGGAATAAGAGGCAGGTTTAGGTCCGAGTCCAGGTCACATTGGGGCCGCACCGCAAAGTGCAGCCGAGTGTCAAAGCTATGTTCGACACGTCAGGGGTGGTCTTCTCCCGAGCCCTCAAGAAATCCTGCCGCCGTCCAAAACCAGAGAGTTAGGGCAACTGAGGCTGCTACTAGCAGGGCAAGCTTGCGAGGCATCCAAGGCTGGCGGTCCGTTCGTCGGCAGTGCGCTGACAAATACCTTTCGCCCTGAAACGCATTCTGGATGAACCTCGAGAGGGGCAGAGGATGGCCTTTGAAGTTCTCGGACTATCTCCCGCAACGCTCGTACTTCGGACTGAAGATCAGCCCTAACAAGTCCCCACTCTGCTTTCATGAACCAATCATCCCAACCACCGAGGTCGCAGCTCATCTGCATGAGCTCTCAAGTCCTGTGTAGCCAAGGCCCAGCAGATGCAAACGAGCACTCCGAGTAACAAGTGACTAAGAGTCTCCCACAGATCCCATGCAGAAACCCTACCGTCCGCTGCGAAGAGCATCGACTCCCGGAGACCTGAGAACCACAAGCAGAGTTCTGCGCTGCAAACTTGTGCTGTTATGGCCGGTATGGCTGGGCTGCATCTCAGCTTGGATCTGTCGGCTTGCATGAGTCTTCTTATCTGGCTGTGGTTGACACGCTGGGATACGTTGAGCGTTCGGACATGAACTAAGAGTTCGCGCTACGCAGAGCACAGATGCACTCATTTCTCACCGGAGCCCTTTCCTGTCGAGTGCCCAAGTCGGAGACCTGTAAGAGGCACAAGTGGAGCCCGGCTGCTGCTTCTGCCGCCGCTCCACAGTGCCCCTCAGACGTAGTCCCCTCGTAGGAAAAGGGAGGGTGAGGAGGGTGAAATCAAATCTGACACTGGAGCTTGTGCCACGACTGCCGCGGCACAAACTCGTTGGTACATGTCACTTTGCACACAAGTGTGCATCCCGACATGAACTAAGAGTTCGCGCTACGCAGAGCACAGATGCACTCATTTCTCACCGGAGCCCTTTCCTGTCGAGTGCCCAAGTCGGAGACCTGTAAGAGGCACAAGTGGAGCCCGGCTGCTGCTTCTGCCGCCGCCTTACAGCAGACCGGCTCCACCGCCCTCGCCCCACTATGTGGAGCCTGTCGAAAAAGCCCACTGCAAGGAGATCGCTTCTTCCACAGCCTGGCCAGTAGCAAAGTTCTCGTCCCTGGCAATGCGAAGAATCAAAGACCAGAAGTCGTCTAAAGAAGACCTCAAAACCAACCAACCATTCTGCTTTGCGAAATCCAAGTTCCCTCGACTGACCTTGTCAGAAAGATTCGCGTCGCTGCGAACCCACTCGAAGTGCCCGTGACAGCGTAATCGCATACTCAAAGCATGAAACCACGCCAGCAGGCGATTTATAGTAGCATCACGTCCGTAGCCTTTCCGCAAAGCTGACAAACCTGCTCGATTGTCGCAAAAGGAAACCCAGAAAGATGACAACTGCCGATGATTGGTGAGCAGAGCGATGGCCTGACCAACGATCTCAAGAAAATAAATGTATGCTCTACGGCTACAGAAGACTTGCAGCACTCCAGGTGGCACAGTACCGTAGGCTGCCGTGACTCCGCTCGTGGTTCGACAGATGTACCCCCATCCGTTCTGGGCTAGATGCATGCTCGAGGGCCACCTTGTGGGAATCTGAGCATCTCCGACACGCCATCGGCGATCACCCAACTGAAAGTAAGCATCGGCATACAAAACCGACACGGGAATTTCCTGATCACTGAAAGGAACGAAGCGAGGCAGGGGATTCGCGAGTATATTCAGCAGACAAGTGATGCTGGATCTGAGCCCTTGGTTCAGACTGTGAGCTGCGTCGCCTGTAGCTTGGGCCCTCCCATGCAGAGGCCTGGTAAGGGCCTGACCGAGCTTTCCCCAAAGTGAAGTGGAAAGAAAACCAAGCTTGCCTGCAAGACGTGAAGCCTCTGCTGGTGACAAACAGTCTCCTTGCAAAACATTCTGCAAGCTCTCGCGCAACCGCTGCACGCGACCTGGCGCAGGCTCAACCTGAACTCCATCATCCATAATTCGAACCAGAACGCCCTGCAGCTTCTGTGTCTTGTCAGGTGGCTGACGCTTTGTAAATTTCAATCGGAAGCCAAGCAAATCACAAAAACTGTCGAAAGACTTGAAGCTGGAATCAGAACTAGCATCGGGATCAACGCTTCCCAGGTCATCTACGTAATGAATGGCAGGAATACAAAGCAACGAACGAGCCAGCCAGATGAGAGCATCAGTAATTCTGTTGAAATGGAAAACGCTCGCTGTGGCCCCGAAGGGCATGACCCGATGACGCCAAAGCGTCGGGCCAGATGGCGTGTTGATGACCACGTAGCAATGACTGGGGTCCTCCACCGGATACTGGCGGTACGCTGCCTCCAAATCCTGGGCCCATATGACTGCATATTCCCCGCAAGTCCTCAAATGACGAACCATCCCAACGTAAACACCTACATCGTCGTGAGGCGGCACATCCGAAGCGTGAATGGTGTTGTTGTGAAAACTCCGCCGGTAGTCCTCGCATCTGCGGACCTTCCGCTTGCCGTCTGAGCCCTGTTGCACTACCGAGAAAGCCCAAGCAGCAAATGGTTGGGAGTCGGGACAAGGCTTCAGCACGTTGAAACCTTTTGCGTCATCCACTGCTACGGTGGTAGTCCGCCAATGACTTGGGGCCGCGAAGGGACCCTCCATGCGCCCCTCGCGACACTCGCCGAGAACTTCCTGCAGCATGGAATGCCATTCGTCATCCACCCTGGGGCGATGAAGTCGGGACCTGACATGTGCCGCGTTCAGAGTGGCGAAAGTGTCTATGTCGATGGGATCCCCGTATTTGTTGTCGGTTCGGGGTAGCCAACCAGGGGTACGCTGCACGCTCCCCAACATGGGAAAGCCTCGAGTCAAGTCCTGCTCCAGAGCGTCCGCGTCTTCGTATCCACAACCTCGCAGAAGCGCAATGAACGAAGGAATCTGGACATACTTGCGCGAGTCTGACAAACTGTAAGCACTGCGAACATGCGTGGGCAAAGAAGCATACCACTGTTCTGACTCTTCTTTCTTGGCAGCAATCAACTGGGAAATGCCGTCGAGGACTTGTCCGCGATAACGGTCGATGCACTGCCCGAGGGAAAGCATGCGATCATAAACATGTTTCAGAGCTCCGCCGATCTCAGGTGCACACAACACTGGGTGCTGGACTTCGGCACTCAACAACCAATGCTCCCACTCGACGTTACTAGGCGGCATGCATGAAAAGGGATCGCACTGCGGCCCTCGTGCCAATGGAACCGGACTCTCTCGACACTTTAACATGACCTCCTCGAGGAAGGAGGCGGGCTCCGGTCCTGACTGTGCGTTGACGTTCAACGCCTGCGAGGATTGGAAATGTTGAGCCAGCACAAGCCAAATGATGAACTTTGCTACACCGGCATGCCAACTGTTGCCGAGAAGTTTGTGTCGCTCTCGGGGAGTCACTCCTGGCACCCTTGTCACCCCGGGCGGCAAGTGATGGATTTGCTCCTTCAGTTCAGCAGGCAACGTCATATCCCCCGTTCGAGACAAGACCATTGCGCTCTCGGCATAATGCCAAGGCGCGTACTGTCTAAGTCCTTGAAGCCACCGTGTGTTGGTGGCTGCGTCCACCTTGCCCCGCATGCCTTTGGGGGGATCTCTCCCCTCTTCGCTAGCTGCAGGTGTCGTCATACATGGGAGAAGCCGAGCCCCCGATATGATATCCGAATGAAAACTCAAACCTGGCATCTCAAGACGAGACAAATCATCTCGCTCCGCGTCAATGTGCAACCTCTGCACTCCGTTGGAACGACTCCAGCGAAAAGCCTTGCCGGAGACAGGATTTTCGGTGAGCTTGCTGATGTCCAAACGGCTCCACCACAATCTCGGGCGGCTCACGACTCCGAAATCGGATGCGCATATCATGGTCGGAGATGCGCGAAGGGCCTTTGTGAAGAATGCCACGTCCTCTTTATGGTTCATTTGAACGTTCTCCACCACCGGTAAAAAGGTATGCTGAGGCAGGGCCTTCTCGAGCTCGCGAAAGAAGTCGCAGAAAACCTGAAACAATCGCCCCGTTGTTCCGTTCCTGCCCTGGCCTTCTACCACTCTAGAATAATCAGGACATGGAGGTGCAGCAAGTACCAAAATGGGAGAACTGCCCTGAGGATCCATGTCCCTCAGCATGCCGGAGACCGTCTCGACGGAGTCCTGAGTTATATCGCCCCGCTCGAACCTCAAGCCCTTGAACAGAGACTTAGACACCTTGCTGGCAGCCGAGTCCGTCTCCCAAGTGAAAAGAGCCCTCGTCCGGACCCCGAGTTGTTGAACTGCGAACATGCCAGTGCCCAAGCCATCGAAGAAAGAGAGGACGATCAAGTCTCGAGCATGCTGGAGGGGAGGCAGAGGTAAGCTCAACTTGGAACCAGAAGGTCGTGCCGGCTCCTTGGTCGCCGTCGCCTGAACGGCATTCTCGGATTGAAGCGGAACCCGGGCCGAACCGCCATCGCCCTGACGATCGGCCACCTCAGCAGTAATGGTCGGCATCTGGACTCGGGCCGCATTGCCAGCACCGGGCGAAACGATCTGATTGGAATCACACTGAGGCTCGACCGTCCCTGGAACGTGGTCGGGTCTGCCCCCTCCGGCCCGAGAGGACAGCCCGCGCTGTCCCTAGTGTCGATCATCGCCCTCCGGTCGCCTCCACGGCTGCGGAGGAGTCCCGGTGCGACCAGACCAATCCGAGCGCCACCAATCCTTGCCCTGCTTGCCTTTGCGGCCACCTCCCTTGGGACCTTTGTCCTTGCCTTTGCCCTTCTGATACGAAGTGGACGATGCACCCTCGTCCCGCTGAGAATCATAATACTTGCGTTTGCCGCCCGGTGGGGTGGCCGGCTCATCTCGCATGAGAGCTTCCTGATACAAGGCAACATCATTCAAGACTGCAAGCGATGCTTCGGAGAACGTCTTTTGGTTGCGTAGCTGAGAGCATAGGCGCCATGAAGCTTGCTCGAAGTACATCTTGAACTTGACGACCTTGTTGGGCTGCAAGCGGGATTTCATGATCAACTGGTCGAAGTAGTAATGCACAGCCTTTTCGGTGCCGATCTCGCAAAGGATATAGAGCCAACGAATGCTATTCAAGCCGTCCAACACGCTCATCGAACCCTGAGGTGACCAGTCCTCATCTGGTTGCGTCTCCTCCTTGAGCACACCATCCTCCACGGACAGTTTGGTAGTGCGGACCCGCTTTGCAAGTGGATTCACTTGCCCATTGGCCTGAAAGGAACGTCTCTGTAGCACTTCACCCAGTCCCACAGGACTGTAAAGTTTTGTCGAACGATGCTCGTGAAGGACTCTCGCTATCACGCTTTCAGCCCCTAACAACTCCCGCTCCGGAAAAGAGTCTCGACGTTCGCCTTGAAGCACCACCGCATTGTACTTTTCAACCAGCGCGGTCCACTCGCCTGGTGGCAAGGTTTTCGGGACCTTCACTGGCTGTGCAGCCGACCCTGAAGCTGACGCAGGTGTCGCTGATGGTGTGGATGGCGCGAGGGCCGCCGACGTGGCAGCCGCGGCCACCTTTGCCCGAGATTCCTTAGCGAGGGCCCACATGTATCTCAGGACGGCCTTGGCGATTGGCTTCTCAGATTCCTGTAGCGTCATGCCAGGATCAGGGGGATTGGGGCGCCATCCTCGCAGCAGTGGTGCGACTACCACGTCGTCAAATTGGTCCTGTGTGGTGGCCACAAGGGCCAAAGCCCCAACAGACCGAAGGCCCCGCTCATCCAAGTACTTGGTAATTTCGGTCCCCGCCCCAGCTTGGGACGCTAAATCGGCCATGGATGGCTCTGTCGCCATAGTGAAACCCTTATCGCAGAAGACCAGACGAACTGAGCACCTAGCAACCCCGCGTGAAGAGTCACAATGCCACCTCTCACCAATGCAGAAACGTCATGAACATGCTATGTCCTCTGAGCCCGTGATGAGCGAACGGTTCCGCTGAAGGAGATTCCTCAACAGCCAATGCCGACAAGCAACGCATGACCGAATCACGCTCGGTAAGCGCCCGGTCTTTTGACCTCTCGTCGCTCCGACCTCCGGAATACATGTCTGAGCAGCGCCCTACGCGGACGCTGCCATGGACAGCTCTGAACTGGCTAGTCCATTGTTTCTATGCCTTCGCCCTGCGCGGGTGGCATTCTACGAATCCCGGCCGCCTCGCAGCGTCCTATGACCAGCTCGGCCAAGATGCGGTCGGGGTATGGAGAGATATCGAAGTCCTGACAGCATACAAAAGATGGAAGTGGTGCGAATGAACGAGCTCGAAAAGAAGCGATGTGCCTGACGATTTTGGGCCCACACATGCATCACGCCGCGAGTGCTAACACTCTGAGTCAATCGTCAAAAATGCCAGCATCGGAACTGCTCTCTGCATCCGACGACAAACCGCCCGCACTCGAGGCCGACGATGACGAAGAGCTTTGACTGCTGCTACTGCTATCGACCTCCTGAGCTGGATCAAAGCACCGAGCGCATTTCCGACCAGCCTCGACGTCCTCAGGCAATATTCTAAGAAAGTTCTTGGCGCCGTAAGGCCAACCACACCGAGTCCTCCATTTCTTGGGAATGTTGAGCCTCTCGTCCACTTTGCCTCGGTGGACCAACCTCGAGCGAATCGATTGAATGAAAACCTGCCCGGGTGTCCTGGCAGCTGCCTTCAGAGCCTGAACCTCGGACTGGAGGCTCGCGATGTCGTCGCACACAGCAGAATGGTTGTCGCCAGAAGGGGCAGCTACAGCCGCGTCCACGGCATCATCGGGAACCGACCCAGCAAGCCCAGACGCGTGAAGCGCCTGCGATGTCGCCGTCGGTAGCTGAAGCAGCGGTGCTGACTGAGCATATCGAGCTATGGCCGCTGAGCTCCAGCGACCAAGAAGCTGCACAAGCATGACAGCAACCCCAAGACTGATCAACCATTGCGTACCAGAAACTCTGCAGCAGTGTCCATGAAACCTCTGTAAGGGGCGGCCCGCTTCGTCGGGCCGAACTGTGGCCACGCCGGCCTCGATGAGAACGAATCGGAAGGACTGCACGACCTCAAACTTGGACAATTCCATCCCTGCTTCGCTCGGAAACATGAATACGGATGGGACCCCACGGCGGTCCTCGAAAAGCTGCAACCGCTTCAGGTGTCTTGATGCTGCGTGGAAGGGACACAGCGGGTGACGCCTCAGCCTGCAAATGCAGTGCAGTGTCCTTGTGCAAAGAGTTCCACGGGAGTCGTTCTTCTGGACCGGGAGCAGAATAGAAACCTCAGAGGCCGGAAGATAAAGATGCTTCCGACGAATGTTGGATAGCTCGATCTCTCGCCACATGAACCAACATGCAAGAAGCATGCAATCGGCCCAGCAGCAAACCTCCTTGGGGTTCCATGGCCGAACTGAGTCGCTCGGGTCGATGACCCCCTGCAAGACTGAAGGGTCAAAAGCGTCCTTGAGACTCTCGGGACCCAGTCCCCGTAGAATGCTCCTGGTGCAATCGCGAATGAGGCCTCGAATGGCCCCTGAAATCGGTAATCGAAGCTCGCGCTCCTGATACTTACAGACTGCAGAAAAATACTGAGCACAAGATCTGTAGCTCCCTTCTTTCATGCTTGCTGCTGCCGCGCAGACATTGGAATACTCGAGTGGAAAAGCTGGAACCTGCCACCTGTGACACCACTCGTGCCACGTCTTGACACGACTGTGCACTGGCCCCTGGGTCGTCTGGGCAAGAAAATCATCTGTCAATCTCTTCATGGCTTTTGCTCTGTTCTCAGGCAATCCTGCCTCCAGAGAAGCAGCGAAACTAGCCCGCATGCGCACGGGAATGGCAGGCAGATCGTGCCTTCTGCTGGGCCCTGACATCTCCGCTTCCTTGTCTGAGCCGTTGCTAGCCAACAACATGTGCAGCTGAACCTGTTCAACACCCGCGGCCAGCAAGGCTTCGCTCTTGACGCGAACGTCCTCGACTTTCAGGACGCCACATTGCCCCAAAACGGGAGCCAGCTCGCTAAGGCCCCGCTCTCGCAAGAGATCCCAAAGGGCTGAAGCCATCTTGAGCCGCTGCTACGAATGAAACACCGATCGCTGCTGAAGCGAAAAAGTCTAAGACAACCACGGGTCCTGGCTGAGCTCGTCGAAGCGATCACGCAACCAGTGAAGGCCAGACCTGCAACCTCCACCATCGCGGACAAAAGCCGCAAGCACGCGGCTGTTCTCACGCACGTTGCGCGTCATGTGACGATCATGACGTGCGAACTCCTCGAAATCACGTGACTCGATACTGAACTGACCTGTCAAGACGCAGCTCCCGGCATCGACCTTGAGAGATGTAAGTAAGTCCCGAAGAGCATAGAGCTGCGTGCCGGAGCGAGCAACCAAAAGCGACACCATGTCGATGATGCAGTGACGCACATGCTCGAGGAGAATGTCGAAGCACATGTGGTAATCGTAGCCAGTTAACTCCACCAGTCGCTCCAGCCGCAGCATGGCGTGCTGTCGCTCCGCCTCGGAGCAATGCGCCATGGGCCGCAGGCGCCTATCCTGAAATCAAATCTGACACTGGAGCTTGTGCCACGACTGCCGCGGCACAAACTCGTTGGTACATGTCACTTTGCACACAAGTGTGCATCCCCGCAAGCACGGAAGCAACTGCGGAGGGATGGTCGTGTTGCAGGCTGCAACGCTTCATTTCTGTCGAGGACTGCCAGTGAAGACGACAGACAAGATAGCAGCAGGCATTCCCACACGAAGCCCGCTGCCTAGGCCTCAGACCAAGCTCATCCAGCTGCTCACTGTCGGGTGACAGAAGGTAATCGTAATTCTTCAGCAGCACAGAACCGACCTGCCAAAACCAAGTGTCAATGCGAACATGCTCACCTTCGTTGGCGCTGCGCGCTCTCAGCGGAAAAGACAATTGAGTGACTGGCCTTCGGCGTCAAGGCGAGGACAAGATCCACCACCTTACATAGGCCAGGGCAAGGGGAAGGACTACCCGAACTCCTGCTGTCGCTTCTGTCGCCCACGAACCTAGCTTAGCACGCGGATAGCCGTGAAGGGCCAGCGCCAGGAGAACCGCACCAGTCTGTCCCCACCAGCTTTACCCACAGGTCCACACACGTCCCCCGCCGCCCGCTCTGAGGGCAACGCTCCCTGTGGCCACGGTCCGTCTAGCGAGGCACAGCGCAGCTCCTTCGAAAGAAAAAGCATGCCCTCAAGGATAAGGATGCTACAAGTAAAGGTCTTGGAATAGCTTTGAAGCATTCCCAGTCGAGACTGGAACCGTTCGATCTGCATGGCTCCTACTGCCAAAGGCGGGATGCTAAAAACGCTTGACAACGCCAGATCTTCCTAGATCTCTCGATAAGACGCAGCGTCCGAATGCCGCAGCACGGGACTCGTGTGCTGGCTGGACCTTCGCAGCGATCGCGCCATCACAGTGCCCTGCGTACCTGGGTTGCCGGAGCCACTTAGGCCGACGCTCAGGGACGAGTCGGACGAGCAGGCAACAAAGTGACGCCTCGCTTTCACTGGACTGTTCATGCAGGTCACACGATCTGGAACTCGCCAGTCGCTAGCTTGCGGAACTCCAGTGGCTTCCTCACTGGCACCAACGGCAGCATCTAGCTGCAACAGAAAGCTGCCGACTCAAGCGGAAGTCGCCTCTAGCAGACTCTAGCACACGCAGAACGCTGAGCTCTGCGCACGTACTTGGTCTTGCAGTCGCTGATGCTTCCTGCAAATCCCATGAACTTGCCGCTGCCACCCGTCAGCTGCTCCTCCCATTTCAATCCATCGTGAGGCATGTTGAAGATGCTGTGGCTGCCGTCTGCTCTTGACTGTCAGGTCCTTCTGCTTCAACAGCTGATCCGTCTCGAAAGACACGGCCATGTCCACAGACTGCCCCCCGACCGCTTTGACCTGGCGAGCCAGACTAATTATACTTACCAAAAGCCATGACATCACGCTTCTTCAGGAGAAAGGTTTCCGTTCAACCGGGCCTGCCAAATCAGAAACGAGTTCGTGAATGCACAGCTCGTCTGTCCAAGCTCGAGCACTCCCACTGTTGTTTTGCTGTGGTGGATGTAGGCTTGGGTGTGTGGGTGTATGTGCGTGCGTACGTATCTCTGCGGCCGGGGGTCCTCGCTCGTACTCTGGGGCCGTTGCGTACTCGTCAAATTCGATGACGGGGACCTACGTGAACTTTGCGAGACTACGGCAGATTACGAGACATGGTAACATCATAACCTGAACCGCCCGACGCACTCGACTAGACACGTAGCACTTCTTCGATTTCTCTCTGAACCCGATGCCCTAAAGCTCCGACTGGAGTGCAACACTCCAAACTGCTGCCTTGGAGTCCGTGAGCGCATCTAAATCGAAAAAGGTTCGCCAGTACACCTCGGTTTCATTGGTTTACACACGAGGCCCTCTTACGGGCGTCGGTTCAAGTCAAGCCTATGTGATGCGCTGGTGCTTTGCCATCTAAACGCATAGAAATGAGAGCCACGCGCAAGTCATGCTCGTGGTGCTGCGAATATGTCACTGGTTCGAAAGTGAAGGTTTTGACGAACTAATTCACGTAGACATCAAGCGACACCAGCGAACACGAGGCCCATCCCTTCACACCCTCGTGCGGAATTTAGCCTTTCAGTTCCAGCATTCCAGGCCTCTCCTGCGGAATTGCCCCTTTGCCTGCTTTTTGCCGCGTTCCCAAGCCCTCCTGGACCCTCCAGGATTGAATTCCCCCTACGATGGCCAGAGTCCAGGACTCGCGCGACACCCGTAAATCAGCTCATGTGCAAGCTTCTGCCAGCCGAGGGTTTGTTCAGTAAGCCAATACGGTCGCCCGCCCCCTGCAGGCTCATTCTCTTCAGCAAGTCTGACTTCTGAGCAAGTGGTCCGTCGTACAGTACTCCTTCTCCCTATGCTTGTTACTTGTTGCAGGAGCCAGCAGGAGTGGCGAAGTCGCTTCGACCCCGAAACACGGTCCGGAAGTTTTTCAGAGACGCCAAGGCGGCTTGCCATTATTTCGAAGCCACGAGACGAACACAAATCTTCAGCGGACCCTTACTCAGCCAGCAGCCAACATGTCCTGGCGCAGAAGGGGTTCTGCGATAGCTGCCCTGCCGGTCGTGTCCAAGTCTTTCTCGGCCCAGTCCGTTTTTGGGGCTGGCGCATGAGGCAGTGGGAACCTTCGCAGGGGCTTTACCAGCTGGCGCAACAGCGAGTGTCGCAGGAGTGCCCGGCTCCACATTGAGCACAGTACTTGTCGGTGACGGCAACCACACCTGTGGGCCCTTGCGACGCCACGGGGGCTGCTTATCGGAGCCAGGATGGAGACCAACTCCCGCACAATGTCGGTTCCTTCTATGGTCCACGCGCGCGACATGACAGGATGCTCCTGCCATGCAAGCCCACACTTGCGGAAGTGCTGGAGGCTTGCAAGGTCGCTTCGCTTTGCTGCTAACGGCCCATTCCACCTCCTAACACTTGATGTTCTGACATCCTAGGCGGCCCCGTCCTGTTTACTCTTGACTACGTTTCGATAAAAACCTTTTTTATCCCCATCCAAGCTTGTACGGCCGTTTCGCAGACCAAACTGGCCAGCACACAAGAACAGGATACTGGCGTTGATTGATGGTGCCTGGCCTGCGCATCGACGGCAAAATGCACTACGCAATCGAAGGGGGACTGCTCGGCATCATGAACCACGCATCATCAAGAGCGAAGCATCAGGAGTGCCATGCATTAAATGCACAAGAGCATGAAGTTGCATTACCTTTGGCGCGAGCTCCTGCACTGCATTTAAGCCGATTCTACACATAGATTTGCGCCCGCTTCGCACGTACATCCCAGCCACAATTGGGTTCGCTGGATCAAGGCGCACGCACCGCCTGCAAGAAGCCATGCAAACAAAGCTGGATTCGAAACATAACGCCACCCGTCAAAGCAACAGACAAAGGAACTCAGATGGAAAAACACATCCAAACGCAGCCGAGTTCCAAGCAAAAAACAATCAACGGAACAGACCGACCAATTCGCCTGCGAAAATTCTTGTAGACGTCGTTGAATTCCAAACATAATACAAACTTCAGATTCAACAGTTACAGAAACAAACCACCGTCGGATGCGGGAAAACCCTCCTGAAACCCCTCCTGCCAGTCGCTTCGAGCCTTGAAGCAAAAAAGTGGACGTCAGGTTTTGGCAAGTCCCTGCTTTGCTTCTGCTTGCTCGCTGACTCTGCTCGGTGCTTGACGTGCTCCGGACCGGTCCACCAATGTGCGACCTCGCACTTTCAGGATGGCAGAGCAGGCAATGCACGATTGCACGACTAGCTTAGCAATTGCCATAAATGCAAATCCCTCCCATCCATTGCGTCACGACTGAAATGCAGGGGCAGGTGTCCTTGCCAGCCTCTACGTGATGGCTCCAACGACCTCCTTTGGGGCTTCTATGCGACCCCACGTGCCTGGCACCAGGGTGGTAAGACGAGAACCCACCGAGCACCTGGGCAGAAGCACCACAATTCCGCCAAAGCGGTCACTCTTCGTTGGCGCTTCTCAGCCATTGAGACCGTGCACAGCTGACCGAAGCTGAGCTCGAGGGCAATCGCCGTCACTTTTGGATCCGCATTTGGCTGCCAAAGCCTCGCAAGGCAGACTCCAAAGCTCGTGGTGAAGTCTGGCTCGTGACTATGCGTGCTCTACTGCAGCAGCTTCTAAGTGAGCACTGAACAGATTCATTCCTTGCGTTGGACGACACAATCTACCAAGTCAAAGCTTCAGTGACATGCGATGCTTTGGGTTTGGGTTTTGCAGCTCGCACGCAAAAGTTCGAGTCCACGGCCTTGTTGGCCTCTGCCACGATCCAGCCAGCTCGAGGATAGACCTGTGAAGACCCGAGACAGCCGGGGATTGCACTGAGAGTCGCTGGACGCTGTACATTGTGAAGTTGTCAAAGTCGCTGCTTTATGGTTCATCTTGGCCTTCCAACATCTCGAGCTGATGCTACCGAGTCTGCAATAAACCCAACGTCGCTTGTCAGAATCCGACTGTTTCCACCTTTCCTGTGGCCTCACGTTGGAGGTTGAAGCCCTCACCGTACTTCGTGTCGTAGAGCAGGAAGCGACGGGCGCTTGAGCCTGCAGAAGGGTGCTGGGACCCGAACAAGGATTCAGGTCCCTTTTCATTCTGCGCATTCCTTCGTGAAACCGGGAAGCTGCACTGACACTAAAGCCAGCTCTGAACCCGGGCCCAATGGCTTCCGGATGCTTCCGCGACTGCTTCAGAGTGGGCGGCCTGACCCGCGGGCACTGCAGGAAGAATCTCCAGAGGCACAGGTCCCACCTCTGCAACTCCAGCCAACTTAGGATGGCTTAGGGCTCAGGGGCTTGCTTAGGGGCTTAGGCCTCAGCAGCGCGGGCGGTCTTTCATAAGGCAAAACGACCGCCAATGCAGCAAAGGAGTCGTGAATGGAGATCAAGGATTACGTTTACGATCCGCGTGCTCCCTCAAGCAAATGATAAAGACATTCGTCTCGTCCCCTCCCAACCTTGCTCTTCCTTTGCTGGTGCCGGACCACGGCCTTCCACAACAGCTGCACTTTGCTGCTCCCTCCCATCCCCCCATTCGTTTCGACTTGGTCGAATTGCACCTGGGCAGGTGCTCACGCACATTGCCAGCTGCACTTTGTACTCGGCATCGTAGCACATGCCTGAGCAGCTTAGCAAGGCTCAATCTGCTTGATCGCCGTACGTGTGCATGCAACACATTCATGCGACCAAACTTGCGCAATCGCTGGCTACTGGCTGTCTTGACATACCTCACATGTTGCCAGACTCCCTGGCTAGGCAACCAACGCGCACGACGTGCGCCCCCCGCGATGACTGAGTGAGAGCCGCGCAGGATGGCTGGTCCCGGACCAGCGCAGTGGCGGGAAGTTCGGAGCACTTCCTGGGCAGGCTGACATTCTCACCGGACCAAGAGGCTGCCCGCAGCCGCCCATCTTGGGGCAGCGCTTGCCCCCAAGCGTGGACTTCACGGCCTCGCCTAGCAGGGCTCTAACATGCTCCAACCGACTCGGTTTCGGGCGACCTGGCCGAGCTCACACGTGCGTCGGCCTGGTACCACGCCCTCGCACCATGCCTGCATACGTAAAATTATGCACGTACATCTCCAGTCTGCTAGCAGCTAGCAGCGCCCAAATTTAAATGTATAAACGAAGTACAATTCGCAGGCAAACCAAGACAGCCAGTGAAAGCCCGTTGGCCTTTTTCAGAAACATTGCTTCAAGATCTGCACCCAGTGAGTGCAACGCGCCCTGATCCCGGTCCGGCGCAGCATCTCAAACCTGGCCTTGCAGCTGTAGAGGTTGGCATCCGCTGGGCATGGTAACACGCCAGCAGAGGCTACAGCCTTGTGTAAGCTGGGCATATTGAGCTAATCTGGCGCAAGATTTCTGAGATGGGCTCCCGGAGGCAAATGCTAGGATGACCTGAGCTGCCTGCTTCTGTGTCTTTCGTCTTGGTAGCGATCTCGGTCACCTTTGATGGTCGTTGCAATGGCAATCACGGCATCACAGCTGAGCCTCTGAATGCCCTTCGGGCCTGGGTCCCTGAAGCCCCGGTCAGAAGGACCAAAGGCATCAAATGTGGCGGAGTGGCAAAAGCGGCCTTGGACTTCACTTGTCGAACTGCTCTGGCACCTGTGCTGCCCGCACACATAGGGCGAAAGGTAGAAAGAGCACAGCGATGGTCATCGCCATGTACTGCAAGGTTTCACTCATGGGCTCCAGGCTGCCATCAGGAGACAACAGGAGGCCCAGGTTGGCAACCTGTAGGACTCTCGTGAGGCTATCTGAAGAATGTAGGAATCGTCTGATGACAATCGCAGAAAATCAAACAGCTTTGGTGGCTGCTCTGGGCCAGTGATGATTCATGACTCGTGGTGTTCACAGCGCGCAGCGTCAAAGTGTTGCCTGGACCAAGGTGTACCCCTTGCGGGACTGGATCATGTCCTCGGTGAGTTCCTGGTCAGCATGATATTGCGGTTTGCGAAGCTCGCGAGGAGTTAGCCACAAAGCTCAATAATCCCTGACCCAAATGCCCAAGCCAATTGCTACCCAATATCCCTGCAAGACGAAAACATGTTGTTGGCTGGGGCCCATTGGCTTGACATCCATGTCGGACACTGCGTCACTTTACTCCGAGACACTGAACACATGCCGGACTCCAGTGCACCGAACACCTGAAAGGTCATGCGAGCCTAACTAAACTCGGGGCCTCAGCACTTTTGTCGCGCATGTCTGCCCATGATTCGGAGCGACGTAGGAGGGAACGAGATTGAAGAAGCACTCATACACCCACATGGGCCTGTCCGCGGCTTGTAGGGTCGGTGCTGTCGTCGAAGAGCCACAGTCCAGAACCCTGCCAGGGCCATGTAGATTCAGTTCAAGGGAAAGGGTCACCGCGATGCTGCTAAGACTGGTTCAAAAGAAGCATCCACCTTCTTCAAAGCTCGAATGAAACGTATTGAAACGCAAGTTCGCACATGACTACAACTACCCAATGGCCCAAGACAGCAAGCGACCTTGCTTTTCCCTTTTCCGGCACGTTGTCTGGCTTAGCCAGGCAGAAAGCAACGCACTCTGTCCGGTTGCAGTGCAACTCAGCGCACCCTGGATTCATTAAAGTTTCTACGCATCTGGCATCCGAGGCCAAGAAGGGATCCGAGGAGCCGAGCCAAGCAATGTGCGAAAACTCTGACCTCCACTTCAATGTAAAGAGTTCGTCCCTTGTCGTCATTTGCCAAGGGCCCTCAAACCAGGAAACTGTGGAATTGCCGGCCACCTTGGACATAGACGCGCGCAGACACACAGACGCGCTGCAAGGAGCTAATAAACGCGTGCTGCACCTGCAGATCTTGGCTCGAGTCGAACCGAATCCGAAAACGAGGATGACAGCACGTTTGCTCAAGTGCAATGCAGAACAACCTGATCAGTATAGTCACAGCCGCCGCAGGCTAGGCCCCTGATAGTTCAACAACGGCTTCGCGATATAAAAACGTTGCAGCCTTGTCACAGATTGTGTTCAGCATTTTCCTCCAGAGGGTCATGGCTTCTGTTTCGACCTTGCAAGCTTCTCAAGGGCTGTGTGATAGTCTTGATTCTGCACTACATATGTAGGAGCTGAGGAATACGCCTTAACGAGGCCAGACTTGGGTTTTTAGCACTGTGCAACTCACACACAACACTTTCGCGAGATGTCAGGTTCCGTCAGCGGAAGCACTCCTGTTCCTAATTCCTAGCCTTGGTGCAACTGAAAACTCACTCGGCCAGTCCGTGTGCACCTTGGTCCTTATTATTGCTGCAAGCACAAGTAATTATGCCCGAAACCAAACTGTACACTCACCAACATTCCTAAGGAGCCTTATATACTGACCAAGACCTCGATCAATCCAAACCTCACCCATTATTATCATGTTTCGTGTAGGCTTGACAGGCGACCTTGCTGTCTTCCACGGTGTAGCACACGGCAGGGAGGGTAAGGTCCTCGGTGGCATCTGACATGCAGCTGTAGCGGGACTCTCGGGTCAGCAGTCTTCGGCTGCACGACCTATATATCAATTTTTTGAGGCGAGCTTCGGGTGGGAAGTCAACGACCTTGGGAGAGCCAATGATAACCTGGCATTGATTGTGCTTGCCAAGCTCGGGTGTTTGAGGCTTGAGGTTGCCACTCTGTGGTGGGTTGACTGCGGGGGTGCTCCGGGAGTGCCCACCTCCGGTGCGGCATGCTCGGCACGTGCGACCGGAAGCTCGAAGGTCTCATTCCATTCCTTAAGCGTGTTGCTTGGACGCTCGGGGTCCACACTTCTGAAACGAAGCTGCCATGATTCTGCGACACTCTAGGGGATGATACGGTACTTCGATGGAGCTAAGCAGCCGGGTGTAGGTTTTTGACCTTGATGCTGGTACCTGAGCGATCCGAACATCAGCTCGAGCTCGGGCCAACACCCTCTGCAGATATTGAAAACAGGTGAAAACCCTAATGCTGATGAGGCTCTCTGCTTGAAGCGATAGGAGTGGTCATCACTCATCGCAGTGATATGTACAAAAGGGTCAGAAAATCCTCCGAGCGCTCGAGAGGAAGCTGGAGAGATAGAAGCCCAGAAGCCATCGCACCTTTTCAGCAAGCTTTGCAGGATCTTCGCTGAAGCATCTGACCGAGTCTAACTCTAACCGCCATCTGAGCCCTCGGCACCGGCAAGTTGCTGGCTGAGATGACACGCACTTGCCATGCCCCCTGGAGCCTGGAGCTTGGCTCGTGCCTGCGATGTTTTCTGCACACTGGAGACACAGCCAGGCAGCCAGGATCACGCAAAAAGTGTGGAACACAAGAATAGAAGCGGTGAAGGTCAAACAACGAGAAGCCTCTTAACTTCGCACTCACGTCTGGCCTCACTATTCTTCTCGCCTATCTGCTGGCAGGTTCTGCAGGGCTCGGGAAACAAAAGATGTCATGCGCATCTCGGCGCCTCTGCCACCGGATGGAAAACGTGATGGTCGCATTGCCATCCTGGCGTGGATAGAACGAGTTGATAGGTGCATAGGTCATGGGTTCGCTTCAACAGGGGAACCAACACCCCGGAAGCGACAGGGCCTTGCCCATCACAGGTTCCCGCTTAGCAGAAAGCAGCGGCATGGTCGTCTCGGCCATGTCTACCAAATCGACTGTGACCTGCACTTACCAAGCTTGCGAAACGGCCAAGGGCCAAGGCCCTCAATGCTCACCCAATCCTGCCTGGCCCATAAAATCGCTTTCCGTCAGGGAGTCGAAGTCGTAGACAGCCAGTTGCACACGCTGCCACCCGTGAGGGTTGCCGAAGCCTTAAAGCTTGTCTTTGCGCTTATCTCTTAAATTCAACCTTAACATCTGAAGTTCCGAGCTGCCCTTCAGCCACAGAAACCTTGGCAAAAACTAGCAGCTGGCATGAGCCATCCTGGATCCTGTAAAGTTGGCAAGTGGCGGTGGCGGTACGCCCGCACGGCTTCCCATGCCAGCCTTGGCAGTCTCAACGATTGGCATGACGTGAAGGGCTAGGGCTGGGGCCCGACTGGGGCAACCTAAGAGGTTCAGTGCCCACGATTCCTGCACCTGAAAGCACAGCGAACACTGGTGAATGAACCTACCACAACTATCAAATTGAATTCTAAAGCAGCCATGCCATGGGCAAGGCTTGGACACCCGGCCGGTCGATACCTCCGACGTAGAGTCGCCAAAAGTAAAGCCTGTCATTCTGCTCTTCCGGTGTAAGCTCCGGGTGATCGCGGAGCGTGTTCAGCTCGGACCTGCATGCCGTGTGAAGTTTCGAGACGAAACCTTGTAACCTCGGGTCGCTGAGAGAGAGATCCCGGCTTCAATGGCAGTGTATACGCAATTCTATGACCTCGATCTAAATGGTGGCCTGCCCCAGTCGAAGATCTTCACCTTGAGAAGAGATGATGGTGCGTCTTTGTCGCCACTAGGAACTGCTAAACTGCTAAAGACTATGGAATACTATGGACCATGGTGTTTCCTCATCTTTCGGCGGGTGGCCAGCACCGACTTGCGTAGGGCCGCTTCAGCGGCGCCAAATCCACGGCCATCCACGTGGGCCTCACAGTGGCGGTTTCGGCTTAGGCTGCGGGATTCTGAAAGAGGAATCTTGTTAACCGTTCGGGGCCGCCACTTCATCCTTGCCGAAGGCATCGTCAAACCCCAGCGCGACAGAACTGCCAATCCACTTCCTGTGCTTCTTTCGCTTGGCTTGAACCAATCCCCCTGTTACAGTGTTACAGGCTACACATGCACAGCTCTTTTCCGTAGTTTACTGTCGTCGCCGTCACTGCCGACATTGTGGCTACTGCGCGCCTGCCCTTGTGTTCGTGGAGTCTGCATTAAGCATCAGCGTACCGGTACTCAAACTGAAGGAGTTTTGGTTGTGTTCGGAGCCGAGCGGCTGAGGAGCCTCGCACTTCCGGCAGGCCATGGCCAGCTGAACCAGCCTTTGCAACCAACCACATCTGGGGACGAGGTGTACGGGGAAGTATGCGATGGGACGAGTAGAGGGCATTCCGATGACAACCTCGAACGTCCCGACTTCGTAAGCATCTACTTTGCGCCTCAGCATGAACTAGAAATGAAGCGTCTCGGCTGCATGGTCTCACTTTTAGCACAGTCTTTTGATTGCATAATATGCTTTGACTCAACATCAATGAAATGACAGCCTGCACTCGACACATTGATGCAAGCTGTCACGGAGACGAGTCCGTCAGTGATGCCGAAGCTACAGACTCAAGCTCTTTTGGGCGTACAGTATCAGCCGAATGCTGGCCTGCCCTTGCTTTCATAGCTGGGCCACTGGCTGTTCGTGTGTCAGAGAGCTCAGAGTCGTGCATACTCGCAGAGAGGCAAACACTGTACGCAGAATCCAGATATCTCTTCCATCAACATCCCTCAACAACTCAGAAGGCCCCCACAAAGGATCCAACTTGTGCCTCTTCCAATCCAAAGCCCAGGATGCTGCCCAGCTGCTGTTTGCAAATCTCCGACAGGACGACCTCCGTCCGAGAGCCGGACCATGCACATGCTCAGAAGATTGGGGATTCACGCACGGTGTTGCAAGATCGAAATGTCATCAAAAGCTCGGGTTTTCATCTCCAGCCGAGGGGGGATGTCCTCCTAGAAATTTACACGGATTTCTGCGCAGCCCTGTCTTAGTGGGCCACTCAAAAAGGCAGAGGCCTCCAGCAGCTCGGTTCCACAGGGCGCCAAAGAAGCTCCAGGCTCTGCGTAGTGGTGCCTGGGCCGTAAGTGAAGCACCGTCTTGACGATTGAAAGACAAGAAAGGAAATGATCCGAAAGAGCGCCTGGATTTTCTGGAAAAAAACTTAAACCTTAAAAAAAGGATGGCGTCATGACTGAAAACCCGTGTTGCGCACGGAGGCTCGAGAAGGATAAGCGAGCGCCGGAAGCGCGGCATATTCTGGACAACCGATAGCACGCGCATACTTCCCATCTTTGGCAAGGCGCATGTCTAGAAAGTGCATGAAGATCTCGGCAGCGGGCAGTCTTTGCAGCATTATCCGCCGGGCCTTCTTCTGAGTCGACTTACCGTGGCCCTCCTCACCTGTGGACGAGGCTCAAGAAACATCGCAGCTCACGAAAGCCAGGCTGGCACTCTGGTTCGACGCCGCCCGGCTGTTGCAGCCGAAACCGTATTTCAGTTAACTTTAGTTGGCCTATGGACCCTCTTGCGTTGCTGGCGGCCTCCGAAGTCCAGGAGCGGGTCCATGGAGATCAACACAGGGTTCTGGCCATCGAAACCTTCGAGTCGGAATCCCTCCGCCTGAAGCCAGGGCAGCTCGGAGTCCGTAGGACGGCTCCGGGCTGAGTAAAGTCTAGTCTACTTAGCTACTTGCTGGTCCCGTGTCGAGCCTGGGAGTTCGTGTGCTCGTCGATGAGCCCTTGCCGAAGGGCCGCCAACCGCGACTTGCCCTTCCAATTGGCAGCAGCAGTCTTCTCGCCAACCTTGGACGGGGGATGAAGCTGCAAATGGTTGCTATGGCCAACGCAGTGGAAGCGATCGCAACAGCAGAGCTCTTCGGTCGTTACTGGCAGAGACCCCGCACTGGAGTGCCCGCACTAAACTGAGCACTTCTGGTAGAACAAGCTGCTGCCGGCCAGCCCGCACTTGAACCCTACCTGACCTGTCAAGGTTTCCTCGTGTCTTGATACTCTCCCGGATACGGCCTTGATGTCCAGCAGCCGCAAACCGGCGCGGCGATGGCGCAGGTTCTCTAAGACCTTGGCAGCCAATCTGAACTAGTAACTAATAGGAGGTCAGTGGCTGACGCGGGAGTTCCGGTGTCCCAGCCAAGAAGCCAGAAGCTGCAGCTCGGAACCCTCTTCGCCCTCTGCAGTGGTCTCAAGAACTCCAGCATACTCGAACATGAAGTGGAGGAGACTTGGCTAGCCGTGCACTGAGCAAGAGCCTTAAGAAGTAAAGTTGGAAACTTCATAAGTCGGGCTAAGCAACGACTGCATCTCACCGGTCGTACTCCGTCCCAGTTTCAAACACTTCTCGTAGAACTGGACCTCGTCCATAGCGCGGGAAAGGTCTTTGCCAATCCAGTAGTCACCGAAGCGCAGGCCATCCGGCTCCTTCTCAAGGAAGCTTCATCACGGCTTGAGAAGAACATGGCCCTCTCTGCGCTGCTACACACGTCGTCAGCTGGAAGCTTGCACTCGATCCTTGAGAAGCAAGCTAAAGAAGGGGGCTGTCCCACCGGACACTCCAATCCGTTTGACCGGTGACGCGAACTTGCTTTGTTCGGCCAAGGTGAACTCAGACCTCAAAACAAGTCTAAGACAGAAACACTCCAACACATTCTAGCAGCAATTGACTCCCCTCTGTTGAGTTTAGGAGCTGCATTGGTGAGCCAGAGTTTTCCAGGTGGACGACCAACTGAACCAAGATGGATCCTGTCTTCTCCCCACGCTTGTACAGCTCCACAGGCTGGGGCTGACTTCGCAGCAAGCCCGGGCCGACCTCACTGTCAAGCTAAGGAAGCAGTGTTAAAACTTTGAAGCCTTCCAAATCTTGCACCACGGACACATTCCGCAAATAAATCGACTGCAAGGCAGGCATTATAGACGAAGGCCTGCTGAGCAGGGTTCAGAGTAGATCAGAAATGTAAGACTTCAGAGCACGTAGCTGAAAAACATCAGTAGCTGCAAATTCCTTCCCGGGGTGAAGAGTGCAAATGGAATTAGTGTGTCACAACCTGCCACAGTTGCCGACATTTCGCAGTTGTGGCCCGACTCGGAGTAGGTAGCCATGAAATACGGGTTGATGTTATAGCAAGGGCTGATGCAGACACGGGTGGCGAGCATGTCGCCCAAACACGTGCAAACAATGACGGGATGACCACGCAACAACCCAACCCAACCCGGATCCTGAATCGGAGGGATGGCCGAGTTATGAAGCCATCTTTTTCGCAGCGCTTCGTCTGCTGAGACAATGCGGTACTAACTTCAGGAACTGACCTGGGTAGAAGTTTCGGGAAACCGGTCGGTTCCACCGGCGCCCGAATCTTTTCTGTTGTAGGCGAACGAAGCGTGAAAGCAGCGTTACCGAGACCATGCAGGAGTCTTGCAGAAGGCAACGGAGCACGTAGTCGCAAACCATCTGCACATGGGAGCACGAAGGCACATGAGGCAACTGCTTCTGGAATAAACACAGTTTCTGAGCAGCATCTCGGGGATTCATCCCTTTGGCTGTTCCTTGTTTTGGGACAGGAGGCCTTGACGGATGTCATGAAATTTCAATGGAATGTCGGAATGATTTCTTAACCACGTTAAAATCACGACATCTTAACTCTGCTCTTGTCTTTTCTAACCGTGCGCAGGTTTTACTCTCTCACCGTGCACGTCCATCCACCGGAGAAGCCACGCGGCCTGGCGCAGATACGACGCAAGTATAGGGGGGATACGACGCGGCTGGCGGGGAATACGACGCAGCATGGGCGGATACGACGCAGCATGGGGGCGATACGACGCGGCCTGGCGCAGATACGACGCAGCTATTATTATAATAGGGGGGATGCGACGCGTCTGGCGGGGGATACAACGCGGCATGGGCGGATCCCTAATGCCGTCGGAGCATACAAAATCGAACCTTGCGGCGGAACACCACCCAGAGCTTAATTCGGAAAGTCCTGATCATGTTGGGACGAATCTACACCCAGACCAAAAAGCACGGCCATCACAAAGAATGTTTATTGCAAAATCCTACGTGGAACGTCTTATTCTGCAATATTTCAAGCTTCAAGATCCAATCTGCTCAAACCATGGCTTGTTGCAGAATAAAGTTGGTTACATATACGTACGTACACCAATCCTGTAACAAACAAACCAAGGATGGGGGGATCTTTGCCCTCCATAACCTGAAACTGAGCAGACTTGGACTTGGCCGCTCAGCCAAAAGCCCAAAGCCACAGAGGCCGGGCCTAGACATGAGCCAAGCACAGGCAAGCATGGGCAAGCATTGGCCAAGGAGCCATGCGGGCTCCCGCTACGAGCATGTCAACATCAACTGTCTGCTCACCGCCTCGGCTTGGCGGCTTGGCCCTGGCGGGTTCCGCCCATCCGCAGCGGAGTTACAGTGACATCTCATGCGAGTAATGCGAGTAAGCCACAGAAAGTGGGTTTTCCCAGCCCCCCGAAGTTTTCCTCGAGAACTTGAAAGCGCACCTTGATGGATTTAGTGGCAAATGTCACTATGCAGGGTGACCTGATTAAGCTTTATTCTATGCATCGTTGGGGCTTTGCTAAGTTGAAGAGATCCCAGGCACTTTGTCACCTCCACCCGAGCCACTGTAGTGCACTGCTTTGCAACAGTGCTCCCACTTGGGGTCCATGTGCTGCCCCCATGCAGACCTCGTTCGCCCGACGGTTACGACGTTGCCATCGGAGTAGAACCAGTCCACAACGGCGAAGGGATCCTTTGACATCACGAAATCGAATGCCCAAAATTGCCCAAACAGAAGTACGTGTGAATCTCGACTTTCATCAGAGGCTCCATCCGCCCAAACTTATCGAAACTACGAAAAAGCTTCGCGGAGATGCAGCGGACGATCACCATGGAGCCCAGGTTCCTTGGCCAAGCTGCGGCAAAGCTACAAGTACCAAAGGGGCGTCTTAAGTCTTGCAGCCGGGACTCTTGACCGTCGGAGTGTTCACCCGCCGCCCAGTGAGCTCCACCTTCTTGGCACAGTCACCGGCCTTGGCACCAGGTCGGGCAGCAACGCTGGCTGGGACGCAGCGCAGGTTTTTCGGTGCATCGATGCATGTTATGATGAAATCTCGGAGGGTTGTTCACAAGTCCCAACCAGGACCTTGCCGACTTACGCCTGCTAAGTTGCATGAGGCCCTTCCGGGCCCTCGCAATGTGTGCAGCACGTCGAGTAGGCCGCAAAGGCAGGACGCTGGCACCCCTTCTCACAGAGACGAGCAGCATCATCCGCACCACCTGCACAGCTGTACAGCTTCGAATACTGCAAGGCCAAGGAGTCAACTACTTGGGCTTTCAACGGCTCTGCAGGGCCTGTACGCGATGATGCGCGCGAGGGGGGGTTGAAAGCAGCCATGGCTTGTCATTTGCGAGCTTCAAGATTTCGTTGGAAACATGTACTTGGCGTATCTCGGCCTGGTGGGTTTCGCTTGGCTTGGGTGGCTGTGTGCATCCAGAAGCATGATCCAGCCACACACAAGCGTGCTGCTCTTATCGCCAAGTCTAAGGCAGAGGGTGGAAGTCTAACGTGGTGGGTGGTGCATGGGCGCCTGGCGTCTTCTGCAGTTGCTGCAGCTGAAAGCCGCTGTCAGCATCTGCTTAGTTCACTCCGCCTCAGCTCCTAGGCAAGCGTCTGGGTATTGGCTCGCGGTTTGGCAAGTGCCCAACAAACTTGTGCTCAAGCACCATAGCTGAGCCCAAATGGCAGCCAAGGAAGCAAGACGGTTCACGTTAAGCGGGGCTTCAGGCTCAATGACTCAAGTTCGCGAGACTTGATATCGTTTTGCACTGGGCTCTTTGCCCTGTTTGGCCATGAAGGCATCCTGAACTGCACATCCGGCCCTCCATCGGTTCAACCCGTGGTTTCCTCTTTAATCAGCTCGACACGCATCCGGCCTGGCCCAGGGGCGACCTGGGGCAAAGTGTATGCGGCTCAGATGCAGGGGTAGGGAGGGTTTCGAGGAGCGGGCTATGAAAGTTCGACGATGCCCTCTTCACAGTCAGTAACACAAACACACCTAGCCCTGAGCCACGACCTTTCCACCCAAATACCGACTCCAGCGTCAAGTTCAAAGCCACTGAACATTGAAGAGCACAGATCCTCGACGCGCAGCATCAAGTTTGTCCCGATATGTTCTCCGCACTGGCGGCAGTGTCCCGCGCCCCGGTTTCACAAAAACACTTGGGCACGGTCGGGAATCACAAATCTCAAAGCTCCAGCTGCAAGCCGCGCTCGAGCAGACCTGCTTGCCCCACAGATCGAGTTCTTGACAGTCTTGACAGGTCAGACTGCACTTGCTGCTGTCGTGCAACGTCGGGCTGGAAGCTATTGCGCTTTGGTGCTCCGCCTGTACTTGTGATAGTTTTCGGGCCTCCACGACGATGCTGAGTGTCCAGCAATGTCATTCGTTGTCCATGCGGTGCCCCGTTGCCAGTCGGTGGCGTGTTTGCAACTTCGGAGTTTCTGATGATGTCGAGGTCGGTGGCTCAAATGTCTGTGGCAGATTCCGTCAACAGGATGCGAAGCCTTAAAGGCACCATCCTGCTGCTCCACAGCACATGGGAGGAAGCCACCGTCACAGGACTCTCAGGAACATGCTCATGCCTCCAGGCACGCGCAGGCTCGACCGGCAGTTTGCGGAAGGCTTGGAACCAGGCATCGTCCAGCATGCAGCAGGTCAGCAAGGATTCGGTGAGGGCACCAGAAAAAGTTGACCAGGCCATACCGGCAGGGAGCACTGCAATCAGCAGGATCAGCAGCCACATCACGTCAATTGTGTCCTCCGTTGACCGGTGCTCCCCATCTTCGGGCTCCTGCCAAAGCTGAGACACCAGCATCACGACTGCCACGACCAGCAATGGTATGCTGGCTCCGGAAAAGAAACACGGAAGCGACGAAGCCCCGAGACTGCCACGTAAGGTCTCCAAGGCAAAAGGCACGGACGCAGCTATGATACTGACGGACTCTAAGAAATCGTTGCCTGGAAAAACAGATAGAAACACTGCCGGCTGTCCCGAGCAGGCTTCTGCCCAGGAAGCCCAGGAAGTCCAGCACCGCTCACAGCCTCGCGCCTCCAAAGCCTCCAAGGCCTCCTCTGCTCGCCACGGCGAGTACAAGAGGGAGCCGAGCGAGGCGAGGCAGGCGGAGGAAAAGCAGGCACGCTTGGCCAGAGACCCCACGTGACGCCGCGTGAGCACCCAGGCTATCGCTGGCGGGGATGCCAATGGCTGAGCCACATCCTCTGGATCCAATGAAAAGTACCAGAAAGCGACTGTGAGCGCTACCTTGCCACGAAAGACTGCCTCCGTCAGCTGAAGCCACCAGCAGCAGATCAGTATCACCACCAGCAGAAGGGAGAAGCAAACGCCATCTGAGAAAGCGAAAGGCTGAGCGTCGGAGATCACAGGTCCTGGCGGCCAGGCCTCACCAAGCAGATCGGATCCGAGCAGGACACTGGCGTTTTCCGCTGGCAAAGGCCAGGGTTCCGAAGACCCGGCGACTCCGGAAATCCGCGAATCAGGAACTACTACTGATGCAGCACGCTGCACTAGAGCTGCGCAAGCAAAGAGACTGGCGACTTGGGTTACTGCCAATAGCAAGGTGGCCATCAGAAGCTCCTGGAGAAGCCTGCGTGGCACGGCCAGGAGCGAGGCTGATATCGCTGCTGCGCCTCTCGTCAGCCTCTTGCGGGTGCAGGTGACTGCGATGGCTGCGAGTGCTGCCAGCGCCACGAGGGCTGCACTCACAAGTAACAAACCTCCGGGAGCCAAACTCCCCTGCTCCAACCCGATCGCAGCATCGCTCGCTGCTGCTGTGTCAACTTTGCGCAAGGTGTCCCATACCATCTTGCCGGCCCCAGCTGCCAAGGTGCCTGTAATCGTCGTGGTCCCAAAGGCAGCACATCGGGGGCAAGCTGCTTGCACTGCTTGCGACAGCCCGCCGAGGGCGAATACGCTCACGGCTGCTGCCTTGCATGACGAATAGAATAGAAAGCTCAAAGCTCCTGTCGAACGAGCCATGTGCAGCTATGGCTCACAGACAAAACCGGACAATGTCCAAGAATGCGAGACCAGCCATTCCTTCCACGGAGGCCCCTGACGCAGGATTCCCAGCAATCGCCGTGCGTAGACCATCAGGACCTGAGTCAAGTCTGATGCCTCATACAGGCATGGTGGAAATTGAAAGTGCCGTCCCATCTCTTTCGTCTTTCAGCGAAACTTTCCCTTGAATACTCTAGGGAACCCAAATCAGATGGATGTGATGTCACGACGAGGCAAAACTGTCGTTGTCCCACAGTCCACACAGTGGTGACCGTTGTCGCGTACCATGGCTTGCCATCGTCTTATGACTGACAACACTAAGCTAATCGACGCAATTGTTACTTGCAGCATTCGCCACTGCTCAATGCTCAAGGCTGTACTTGTAGATGCTGAACTTTTGCAAGAGGGGCGGCTGGAGATGACTTAAGACTCAACAAAACATCATGAAGCTCATCCAGGACACGGATGCCCCAGGCACAACGGCCCCCTGCTCACCAGCAGCCCACAGCAACGACGCGAAGATGCCAGGTGCCTCGTGTATGGCGTCTAATATGTGCCGCACCCACATCTTTTCCATCGAAGACTAGTATTATACTTCTTCGTCTTATGCTGACGGGCCTTCACGTCCGGAAGGCAGAACCGCCCCAGGCAAGGCAGTGTCTCGTATACTGGGTAGGAATTCCTTCCAAGCATCTGCCTCCGGGGAGCCACCGGTATGATCATGGACACACATGCCCCAAGCACATCAGGGGTCTTCGGGAATCTCAGTTCCTGAACATCGCAGCAAAAGCTGGTGTCGAAACATTCCCTTCTACTGCTCCCTCGGAACATCGGGGATTCCAAAAATCTCCATCAGGGGTGTCTTAACAAGTCCCAGGCTCCTCTTCTCAAGCGCCACCTTCTCTTGTGTAAGGTTGGTCCCGTTTTCCAACAACCTTCACTGAGAAAGCATGCTCTTGGTTGCCTTTGTTCCAAAATATTGCGAAGCACGTGGGTGACACAAACCTCGCAAAGTCCAAGAGACCACTGAATGGTGACAGGCTCCATATTTGCAACGCTCACAGACCTGCGGCAACACATACAGCAAGCCAGCAAGCCAATCGGCAGGGTTGCAAAAGTGCATAGTAGATCTTCAAGATTCCCGGCGTTGCGCGAGTCACGCGTGCAAGGCGGCTCTGCTTTGTGCCTCGAGTTCACTACGTCCACCTCCGCAGGGCACTCATCGACGCAAGTCGCAAGCCTGGCCTCGGAACTCGCAAACAGAAGGAAACTGCAGTGCAGTGCAGAGTTAAGTCACCACAAGGCGCCAGTCCGGCCTCGCCCGGAGCTGGCCAGTACAGCATCGGGCGGTGAACCTTCAAAGTTCAAACACAATGAAGAAGAGGTCCGAAGGATCTAACGCACGGGTCACCGTTGGCTAAGTGACGCCTGACGTAATCACAGCGTTCCTTGCCTCCTATCATAACCTCTGAGCCGAAGTTACCCTAAGCTCCACTATCCAGGCGGTGCAGCAAAGTCAAACCCCAAAAAACTATGTCTATGCTTGAATCTCCGACGACAACACAAAGTCTCAACGAGCCCGCTCCACTGTAGTTCAAGGTCGCCGTTAGAACGGGCAGTGAGGCTACGATGAACGGCCCATCGTGCGGCAGCTTGCACACTTTATCGGTTTGCCCTCACTCCAGGGCGCCAGCCAACATCTTCGAACCGTCTGAGTGCAAGCAGGCTGCATTGCCGATGCCACAGATCTGGCCATGTGAATCCATCTCTCCATCCAACAACTCCGGTCTTCCGTAGTAACTTGGCAACGAACAGGTACGGCAATGCTTAAGTCTCTGCTTGAGCTCTGCGACCAGAGGCACAGGACCACCCCAGCCGCCACGCTTGCGGCGTAGACGGCTATAAGAAGCCCAGCAAGAGAGCCAGCATCGAAGCATTGGCCGAACATGGTCGTCTGAATGCCCTGGCAGAGATCGGGAACCGAAAGCCCGTGGGAGGACTTGAGGTGTCGAGTGAGAATCGGGTATTGACATGCAGACTGCATTCTGGGTGGAACTCCGTCTGAGCCTTGTCGACTGTCTCTTCATGGTCCTCCGGGCAGGTCCCAGCTGGGTCCCAGCGCCCCGACCCTCCCACAGGAAGTTCGCCAATGAAGCTCCAACACTGACTGGGAGAGATGTCCTCCAGTTCCTTCCAACTCTGCCAATTCGGCAGCCGCCCCCGCAGCCAGCTGCAGTACTCTGTGTGCTCCACGAAAGAGTCATCCCTCGCCGGGCGCATGGCTCGAGCTGCAATTGAGCCTAAAGTTGCAGCAATAAGTCTTCATATGAAATGTATGGCAACGTGAGGTCCGGAGTCTCTTTGGACACCGTCGATGGCTTCTCCTACCGGCATCGAGGCAGAGCTGGGCAAGCGGCGCTGGCAAAGGCACCTGGGTCGCCGGAACTGGTGCCCCAGACTGCTTCGGCCTGTGAGCGACAGCTTGACCGTCAGACGAAGAGGAAGAGGCAGAGGGGACAGAGGAGAGCGGCCAGAAAAGAGAGGAGAGAAAATTGGCGTGGCTTAGGCCTTTGCTCATTGTCTGTGTCTTTTTGCTTTGCTCCCTTGCCTCCCTTCTTCTTCGTGGCCTCGGTGCTTTGATTTGGCAAGCACGAGTACTGAGTGCTAGCAAGGACTTATTGGCACGTTTTGGACAGGTCGTGCATGAAGTTGGCTGTAGTACATGCTGTATACTGCCACGTTTCCACTGTTTGCAAATTCTACTGATGGAAGGATGCTGAGACAGCAGCACGGTGCTCTTCGATGAATGCCATGATTCCATCCTGTGAAACAAGGGTAGAGGCCCCACTGTGATAAACAGCACGGATATTAGACTGGCAGGCAGTTGTCAGTGGGTGCTTCCTACGCAGCTTGCCTTGGTCCGGGTTGACTTGAACTCCCCGTCGATTGGAGTGTCTTTCTTGCCCTGCAAGCTGAGACAGGAGTCTGGCAGCCGATCCAACTGTGCAATGAGCGAAGTCTCCCCTGCCTTAGCATAAAGCTTCAGGGTCGGGTAGCTCTTAATGTCTGCGGAGCTATGTTTGTACCTGACGTCGAAGAGCTCTTGCCGAGCACCGCTGACCGGTGATTTGCTCGCTTGCTGCACTTTTGGGAGAGCGGCTCACACATTAGGGAATAGTCACGACGATAGCCCTACGCTTCAGCAACCCCATCTCAAGTGAAATCAGGCACACTTCGTCGCATCCATCTTCCTGAGTCCAGGATGCAGGAGCGCACAATGCGAATGAATGCAGCCTGCTGTGGTGCCTGGCGGGCGTTCTCGGCCGCGGGCCGACTGAAACTTGACTTAAGCTGCTCCGGCAGGCCGACTGGCACAAAAACCCGAGACGAAAGCCAAGCTTAAGAGAGCGCCTGTCAATACTCCCTGAAGAACCAACTTCGCGGATTGTGGGCAGCCAAGTCGCACTATCGAAATGCCGTCGTCCTGCTCATAGTGCTGGGCCTTGGGAAAATGCTTTCATGCTGCGGGCTTCTAGTCCCCGAAAGCAAAAATGCACGAATGACAGGTGTCCGAGACCCCAGCAACCAGTTTGTATTCTGGAGCCAGAGCCTGTCCAATCTCCCAACATCCCCCGATTTTCGTGGAGAAAAGCAAACCCGAAACGAAAGATGCACCTTGCAGTGGCCGCACCAAGGAGCGTAGAACTCGACCAGCACATCCTTCCAACATTCAGCTTGAACAAGTGCCGACTTACTCGCGAAGCGGAACTCCTCAGCATCGCCTGTTTCCGGTGGAAAGAGTGATTGTTCGGTGCGCGCTGGTCCGGGAAAGCCAAGTTTGGCAAACACAAGCATGAAACCCTTCAACACTGATCCATCATACAGGGAAGGAGGGGGCGAGTTGAACGCATGTGAAGACCCCAAACTCTTCGACTGTCGGCACGACTCTTGCGATTGGACACGGTCTCACGCTTCGCCTTGTCATTGTCGATGACGAGGCTGTCGAACGTGTCACTCGTGACCGAAACCACTGGGTCCTGTTTCCGACAAGCCAAAAACTGCGCAAGTAATGCTGATGCTTCTCGGGGGAACCACGGAAAGCGGGCCCGTGCTTTGCAAGTAACACATGCTTCATCTTAAAATGGTGCGATTGGTTGCCATCAGGCAAATTAACACTGGACACGCCCACCTCTGACCCGCAGAAACAATGGGTTGTTCGCAAGCAAAAGGTGGTTGGTTCGTCCCTGCCCCAAACTCAATAGATTCCCGAGCCAGGCTCGGAGTGGTATTTTCTCGAATTTTTCAGGCTTCTGAAGGGATGGGCGTGAAGGGTACGCGCTGAGGGATACAGTTTCAGGGCCACCCCGCACCCACAATCCCTTCCCCCTAACATTAAAACGTCACCCGCCCTAACATGAAAATAGATTTCTGGGAGTCTATTTTAATATTAGGGGGAGTTTGGGTGCATCCGGGTGCGTGTCGGGTTGACAGTAATTCGTCAGCACAGTCAGACAAGTCCTAAAGCCCTTCAGCCTTAAAGCCCTAAGCCCTAAACCTTGAGACCTAAACCCTAAATCCCTGAGCCCTAAACTTTGAGCCCTAAAGCCCTAAGCCCTAAAGCTTTAGCCCCTAGCTCCCCCCTTATAGTTTTTAGTTAACTTTCAACTGTAGGCCCAAAATCGCGAAATCCTGGCGGCGAGTTAATTTTATGTTAGGGTTGATGTTAGGGTAGGCTTTAATCAGTTTCTGTTGGTAGTAGTGCACCCTACACCTTAAGCCTTGAACCCTAAACCGCTAAACCCGAGTAAAGGCCTCAAGCCTGGCACCCCTACAATTGCTCAACGGGATGTAGCACCAATTTTGAGCTGAATCCTGGGTTTGCTCGGGGATGTTTGGGGCTTTGTCCCACCACTGTTTTTCCACTGTGTTCTGTCCCCAGCCTTCCGCACCAGTTTGTCCTATTGTCCCTTGAAGGTACAACTTAGCGTAACATTGACATGTGCTTGTTTAGATTCGTCGTGATGCTATACCTCCTGACGTGTACCTTTAGGCAAACTGCGACACACGGGCAGGCATTCGTTGGTGTTCTGTTCCGCGGCATCCTTAACTGCAACTGCGGCGCTAGTGACGCTGCTGCCAGAAAGTGACTGTGGCTGACCAAACCCGGACATCACGCTGCAGCAGCTGACTACACAGGACGCTGTCCACGGTGCTCAGACCACATGCTCGCAAACCTCTATGCCCAACTTTATCCCACCTTAACAAAAAAAGCTCAAAAACCGATGGTTCTCGAACACCCTGCCACGCTGGCCAGGTCGGGCTCGAGCGTCAACCAAAGCATTCGGAATGCCAGAAGGTTTTTGCAGCCCTCTCCAAGGCTAAACTGATCTCTGCACAAATGGCGCCTTCTCTGCCGAGAGCTTCCCCTGCCGCCAGTCATCAACAAAGGCCTCCGAGAAGAGGCATGCAGGGAGGACAGGTGCATCGTGCCAGGGTGCACCAAAGGCGGTGCTATGCGTATGCATCAGCCTACCATGAAACCGAAACCGCGGATGCGAATATGCGAACAGATTCGTAACTGATGCATAGCACCGAAAAGATCAAGAGTCATGCGCGGGTTCGCTGTAAACTTCCCACAACCCAGCGGCCTGGTGCATATTCACGGAAAAGTGTCCACAACAACTGTCGTCAAAGGACATAGAAAACAGCGCGCATTGCGTGCACACTGAAACAAACAAAGAAAGAAGGAAAGAAAAAAGCAAGCCAGAAGAAGCAAGCAACAACAAGCCAACCAGAAAAACATGCAAACGAACCTCCCCACGCGAAGACCCAATTCCACAGGAACGAAAGCTTGCAGATGTAGCGGGGTGCTCAGGTCGTTCAGCCATAGTCTGCAAAAAGTCAGAAGCCCTCTGCGAAATGCGCCCCTGCACTATTTCTGCTCTGACGTTTGCCATGCAAGGGACAAAACGAATGACTATGCTTGCCCTACTGCCAGCTGCTGGAGCACTCTTATTGTAAAACCAGCTAGAACCGTTGCTGCGGGCTACCCGAGTCCTCACCATTGTCACGACTCAAAGCACGGAGTTGCCTGAACTGCCTTTCGCGTCAATGCTGCACCAGAGGATTGCTGGGACAGCCGATACACCTTGGCAGGTGCTCGTGGCTTCCGGCTGGGACCGCCCTTTGCAGAGCCCTGCCTTGTCGGCATCCTCTGTCTCGCCAAACTCCCAGATCGCCACCTCTCAAGCCGAGACTTCTTCTGAGATCTTGCTTGACTTGGCCGTGCAGACCCAACAAGCCCAGAAGCAGCAAAGCACAAAAAACGCCTCTGGAAAGTCGGCAGGGGTCAATCCAACCTTTCGGCAACAGAGCACAGCACGCGCAGAGGCATTGTAGTGATTCCGCTTCGATGGGTGGTTTCGCATCGCACTGCGTCTTCATAATGCTGCATCGTTGATGTAGTAGCTTGGAAGTAAGAAAAGTCATCCCTAGCTGCGCATGTTGCGTTCAAGTTGTTGATTTCAGGGATGGGGCAGCTGATACTGCTTCGAAAACTCTTACGAAGCAAGTTTCTGTGCATCACTGCTTGCTGGAAATTACCAGCGGAAGGCTCCTCGAAGCGCCGTTCGAGATGGCTAAGTCTGATCACAATCGACTCTGCTGCCATACTAGATTCAGCCTGTGAAGTGGACGGGCAGCTGCGGTCTCTCGACCATGCGCTGCGAAGAGCGCAGAAATCTCTGGGGTCTTTGCGTTCTTGCCTAAGCTCTCACCGAACTGGCTCTTCTTGAGGTGCACCTCGACATGATGCAAGAGCTGCGCAGATCATACTGTCACTATTCAGTATCAGCTGTCCAGATGAGCATCTGTGGGCCCAAGCCCACTTCAGCTTCGTGTCACTGCGGAACGACACAGCCAGTTCCTGAGGCTCTAGTTGTGCAGATGTAAGACGATCCGGCTGGTCGGGTGCAATAACAAAGGCACCAGCTTCACAACAAACTGCTACTAATTCGCTTGCACTCGGTGCCTCTGCAAGGTGTGTAAGAGCAGATCTCGGATATCTTCGGAATCGGAGGGTTCTTCGCCGCTTCGCACCAGCACGCTAACAAAACCCAAGGTGGCTCAGACAACAGGCCACAGCAGTCGCGGTCTTGCTGAACTTTAAACCATCCCAGATTTAAATGCATTCCATGCAAGCAGCGTGAAGATCGCGGCGGAGCTGCTCGTCTTCACCTCGAAAACGTCAGGGGAGGGCTTTTGCTCCATCCCAGCAGGAGTTAATGTTTTTGCGATCTCCAGGACCGCGACCGAAGTAAAGCACTAAGCCATTTCCGGGATCGATGTCCTGCAAGAAGAACTTCTCCTGAGAGAAAGCTCCCGATCCAGTAACGAGAAGATGACATTTGGCCACGTTCACGTACGAAAGTCTCACGCCAAATGTCCCCAGTGCAACGGACTTCAAAGCAATCATGCATACTCACACTACTAGTCGGCGAAGATCTGCGACTGCCCGACCTATGTCTTACACTTCCATCGCATGGGCCCGGACCGTCTGCTCCGATCCGGGGATTAGCGCCTGGTGACAAGAGGTATTTGCACCGTCTTCTGACATCTGCAACAGCAAAGAGAGCCGACAGAAGGATGGCGGACCAAGCCGCCCGACCGGCACGCGCTTCGCAGCTATCCACGACATCAAAGCCTCCTCGGCGCCAGGGCACTTGGAACAGAACTGAAAGGATCAGGGCCACGTATGCGCATGGTGGCATGCTGCGTTCAACAAAGTTTTTCGAGTTCTTGAAAAGCCGGTAGGAAGAATTTTCACAACGGCCCGCAGGCGTTGGTTAAGATTCTGACATGATTCCCACGACGCCCATGCCTGCAGCAGAGCCGGGCCCCGTGCGAAGCTGTTGGGCCAACTGCCCTGCGGAGTGAAAACCAACACCTTCAGGAGCGCAGCATTCCTTCGTTTCCGAATCTGTGGAAGAGCTGCGGGAGAGCTGTGGGCTCATCGCTCCCCGCCTTCTCTTCGAAGTCGAAGCTACGCAGCAGAGCGACCTTTTGATACTGTCAAAGCACTTTCGAAACTCTCCGAGGCTGAGGGGCCCTGAGAGGTCTGAGAGGCTCCGAGATCTGAGGAGTGCCGCGCAGGGCAGCGTCGGCCTCGGCCCGGAAGCTGTCGAGCCTACCAGGAAGCAGCGGAAGATGCAGGAGCCGTGGCTCCGTGGCTCCCGTAGTCCGCGGACGTGCGCGAGCCGCCTAGGCCTAGGGTCTCCAGGAGAGCAGAGCTTGTCGACTCCACGAGGCCGATGGGCACCTCTCTCTCGCCTGAGGCGGAGAGTCCGGTGATGTCCGGTGCCTCTCTCGGCCCCTCTCACATCCTCTCACTTTCGCGAAGCCTCCTGCGGCTGAAGGGTTCAAGGCGAACGATGCGTCCTGCATGGTCGCCCGCACTCCCAACACAACATGCCGCCGGCCGCGAGCCTTCAGGCTCAAAGGAGAACGATCTCCAAGTTGCGTGAGCATTCAGAGCCCTCCTCTGTCCTCCAAAACTTGAAGCAAGACGCTGCTCTCGACCACACCCTCCAGGAGCCTCGGAAAACTAGGCCAAACAAAAGTCGGGGCACGCAGTACGCAGAGCATCTCCCTTCACACTGCGTTCTCCGTTCTGTCTCGGCTGCTGGCCCAAGCACTGCGACAGGCTTCTGGGAGGCCCAAGCTGCGATTTCCTCCGAAGATGCGGGCAGTCCTGAGCCACTCGAGTTCGACTCCCGTCTAACCCAGCGGAGCGGTGCAGCGGCGGCGGTTTTTGTCTCTTCTTCCGGGGCTCTGCGCCGTTGGCGTGCGGGGGCTGTTTATGTACATGCGCTCCTGGCTCCGGCGGGGGCCCTTTGTGCATCTCTACACCTGAGCGTCCAGAAGCGATTGCAGAGCCGACGCTACCAGTCCAAGAGCTGCCAACGGCTGGCCAACAGCGCGGAGGCCCGCGAGGAGCTGGCTGCTGGCCTCTGCGAGCCTTTCCCTTTCCCCCTCCCCCTCCACCGCTTCCACGATGAGGGCATAGAAGGCTTCACTGCCACTGCCGGATCGTGCAGGCACGAACTTCCAGCCCAAGTGACGGCCCTCACAGCGGCCGCACACCAGCACGGACCACTCATATCCTGGGAACCAAGAGTCCCGTGCCTGCTTCTTGGAGACCTCCAGGACATGCAGGTCCGTGAGATCCACGGTTCTGAGAAGCAGCAACTTGAAAGGCAGCTGGAGTTCGGAGAGTCGCGCCGGCTGCTTGAAGTTGTATAGATTCACTTCCAAGCCCCTAGTTTCGTATTTGTCCATGCCCAGAAAAGAATCTGCCTGCACGGGCTGGAAGGGTACCAAATTCATCAGGGACAGGTTCAGCTGCGTTTGTGCCGGGCAGTTGCAGCCTTCACCTGCACACTCGGACATATGCGGATTCCCGGTTGCTGCGATAGAGGCCTCAAGCCCCCTTGCAAGCACACAGCCAAACACGGCCAGTGCGCCCCGCAACCGCATCATCCGCATCATTTCAAGAGAGAGGCCCTCTAAGCTTCAAGCTCGAGCTCGAGCCGAAACGGCCTTTTGTTTCCGGCCACATAATTGCACATTGACATACCATGGATGGACAGGCGGAGCGACCAAAAAGATGCAAAGAGCCCCACGTTGGACCAGGTCTTCGTTCTGTTTGACCTGCACGGAATTCTGTTCAGACAGCTGCAGGGTACGATACTGCATCGTGTTCTTCACAAGAGTCAATGGCTGTCGGAGGTTGGGGTTCGCAAATCCAGACCGCAAGAGCTTCTAGATTCTAGACTCTAGTCTCTATGAGTAGGAGTCTCTAGATTTCCTGCATCACTGCAGGATGCACCTTGACCCACTCTGCCATTTTGGCAGCAGTGCGAGGACCTTCGTACTTGACGGAAACCTGCCGACAGCGGAAGGAGCAGAGACCGAAGCTTGCAACTCCACTTTGGGTGTCTTCAGAAAGCCAAGTCAGACAGCGGTTGTTACAGTTGCCGGGGAAAGATCAGTGCAGGCATGACTTCCCACTGTCCCTCCGCCCCGCATGCCCGCACCTTCCTTCAAATCTAACAAGAGACATAATAGACACAAGCTGTGCTTGGGACCTTATGAAACCCTGACATTGTCGCCAACTCTACTTGTCCACAGCTGCTGTAGCTGCATGCTTCGTGCTTAGGTCTGCAAGGGCACACGATCTGGTGGCCTTCGGGCTGCCTCGGAAGAGTCTGAGAGTTGGGAATGACCTGGGCGGTACTGTCCAATCAACATCAAAGGTTGCGATGTCAATCCTCCACATGCACGCTGCCCCTCCGCTCAATGCCTGCATCTAGTCGGAGGCACAAGCAGACGCAGTCGCTCATCGCAATCCGACCCGAACTCGCTGCTCCTCGTGGACCCTCGGGGCTCAAGCTGCACCTCGTGCTGTTGCGCCAGAGCTTTCTCAGCAATGGAGTCGACCTCAAGAGGAACGGGAAGGCTCGCCGATCTGACAGTGGATCAAACAGTGGCGGGTGTTTGGGCCAAGGCACATGAACACAAAGCAGGCTCAATCGGCTACTGCCCCAAGATTCTGCGAATGAAATTACGTGGCACTCCTGGAAATATGGGTGCAGCACCTTGGCCACCAAGATTCCATCGTCCTTGCACAGCTCTGCTGTCCTGCAATTGTCAGATCCGGCTGAATCAAGGTTCCATGAACTGAGCAACTCAGCCAAGCCCATCAAATCAATTGACTCGTCTGCCCTCATACGCGAGGCCAAGCTCAGGAGTCCTTTCCCATTCTGGGACTAGCTTCTTGCAGTGGCCACCTTACATGCTGTCGAGCGGACAGCGAAGGTCTCGCAATCTTGCCAATACTGTACTCACGCTTTGTATCAAGGGCCACACACCACGGAGCGTAGAACTCAACGAAGCTCAGGCCACCAGACCTCGTCCGGTGAGGGTGCAAAGCAGACGTCACAACCCGTTCTGACGAATAAGCGGTTGACGATGAGGAAAGGACCTTGTGATGGCAGACGAGAAGTTGCCTCCTCCAAGGTCGTGTACCTTGACAGCCGTCAATGCTGATCTGCGTATCGCTGTGGGAGCTGGATTCCCCTGATTCGCCCGTCCAACTCTCCGGCTTCTTGCCCTTCGCATGAGAGATTAGCTTGGCACTTGCCGACACTGTGGCTCGGACAGTGCCATCAGGGGACAGACCTGCTTCTGCTGCCTTGGCATGTGATGTTAATTGTTTCGCACATAGCTGTCGCAAAGTAGTGTCATACATGTCATGCCATCCACATTTGCAACAAGTGTTGGCATGGAGCCGGATAGGAGCAATTCTCACAAGCCAGAAGTGGCGGAGCGAGGCGGAGCTCAGCTCACCGCGACCAGGTGGAGGGCCAACGCGACACTGCCCGGAGCGGAGGGACGCGTAAGCTGCAAAAAACATTCAATGAATGCCAGACCATGCAGGGGTCTTGCCTGGGAAAACGACTTAAGTCTCGTCAGCAGCCCAGCCCAGCCGCCTCCAGGTTCTTCTACGCCACTTCCACGTTGCATGCGCGGTCCTGCCGGCTGCAGCTCGCCTAGCGATGCAGCACTTCTTACGAGGACACAAAAGCAAACTCAGAAAGCAAAAGCATGCAAAGGCAAAGGCATCAATCCAAGAAGTCGCTTCTGAAGTTAATTCACCTTGTAGTTGCAAGCACGAGCGACTAGTGAACTGTGCATCACGGTATCTCTATTTGTGATTCCTCCCAGGTCTCTTCCGCGGGCTCGGCCTCTTTGGCATGTCCATGGCCGCGGACAGGACCAGGTCGTGGCCGACCTGGAAACGCTTCCAATACCCTTGGCCCTTGTGCACAAAAGGCCTTTCTTGAAACACGCATCGCGAAGTCTAAGTCTAAGTCTACGTCGTTGATGAACCCCCACATGACCTAGCCTTGGTGGGTCTCGTCGCAGCCATGACCCACTCCATGCAGTTGGGATGTTTCGGAGACGGAGGTGTCAAGGCTTCGAGGGCTTTTCGAGCTTCGTGGTTGGGGGAATTGCAGACTTGCAGTTTGCAGAAGGCATGTGCGGCTGAGGGGAGGGGTCTGATAGGAGTTGCTTGCGCAGCTGTTGGCTATATACCGGCAAACACATGTCGCGAGTTGGAAATGATGCAGCAGAACTGCTGTGCGAAAGCACAAGATGCAAGGCTACGACGGCCACGAGTATCACGCTGGAGGGAAGTCTTTTGCTCCTGCTGACTTCATTTCACTTCGGCATATCTGTGCTCTTGATGCACCGCCAGGACGCCCCAGCAAAGCCTGTGAAGCTTGTGCCGCACTCTCCCTCGGGAACGACGGAGACTCTTTGGCAGCCCTCCTCACTGCAGTCTTCGTCAGAGCATATCTCCACGTAGCCTCCCTCTGCATCACGCAGGGTGTCACAGGAAACCCTCCCGTAGAACGGTGCAGAGGCCGACACTTCGTGGCTTGATCCTGGCATTTGCATCTGAGGCCGCAGTGCCATGCAAGCGCTGAAGGGCACCACGTGCCACAAGCGAGCAGGAGGCCCATCACAGTTAGGCGAAAGGAATTCCCGGACTTCAACCACCGCTTCTGTCTCTGCAAGGGCTGAGGCCGTAATGTTGGCAGGCCCAGAAAAGGAGTTCACAAAGATGTCGTAGAATTGCACATAAACACCCTGAAGCAGCAATGCGGACACAAACACCAGAACTTCTAGGCGAAGCAGGACCATCGACCGATATCAGGTGCTAGAATTCCCTCTCGGCTGTGTGCGCTTGCCTTCAGCAGACGAAAAATGTGTCCAGCTACATTCAGCTACCAACAGCCTTGCGTCCCGGCAGTGAGCAGGATGTGGGATCCTACTATAGCCTCTTAGAGTCTTAGATGCTGCCCCTGCACTCGACCAATCAAGCCGACGCTGCGAATCAGGTGGCATCTTGCCATCTCAGCAAATGTCTCAGCGAGCGATGCGAAACGTCGATTCAAAACGAATTTCCGACGAGTATCTTTCCTACGGGTGCGCCGGGTCCGCGATTCAAATCCCGCCAATTGGGAGGTTTCTAATGGTTCCTACCTGTGAAGTCAGCATCCTAGGTGCTATAGGAACCTAATTGCCTCATGTCATCTTATGTCAGTCGAGCATTCAGTTCAAGCAAGCAGGAGAAAACGTTTCGGATCCTGGGCTGGAACAAGAATGCCTGGAGGGTGAGCTTCGAAACTTCGAATGTTATCTCAGGTGCTTGATTATATCACAAGAACATTTCCGGAACAGTCCAGCATGTCTTTTGCCGAACTCACTCCGTAGGTTTTAAACGCTGCAACCCTAAACCCTAAACCTTTACTGTAACTTCCCTAAACCCTAAACTCGCTCTCAGAGTCTGGGCTAAGGGCTTGGGTTTGGGAGGCTTGGGGTGAGTGGTTCAGTTTAGTTCCCGGATTGTGCACGTTTGCAACGTTGATGATGGCTCCGGGGTTGGGTAAGGGCTGCAGGCTTTAGGGGTTAGAGGGGCCGGTGGCTAATTTAATGGGCTTACACTGGTGTCTCACGCCTTGATCAATCAAGTAGTCCAGGCAGCAAGTAGTTTCTACTGTTAGGGGGAGGTGGTCTCTATGTTTTGGGGATCTATGGCATTCGTACTTGCCTACCTACTTGTACCGCAAACAAACATGCATACATACATCCTAAACCAACGTAATTAATGAAGAAAGGCTCTTGGACCCTTGGACAGACGGCCACTACAAAAAAAAGAACTGAAACCTAGCATAGTGATTTAGTGCATAAGCATATCAATGGTGGAGTTAGAGCAGAGCTTGTGCTTCCACCGGGGTGACTATGCATTCATTATGCGCCGCTTTTGCTGCTGACAAAGCGCCTGTGCTCCAAAGCTTGGGGTCTCCAAGCAGTCGAAGATTCGAGCAGGTCCTGGTGAGCAGAGGCGGCCTCGGCGGGCAGGGTGCCCTAGGATTTCTTACGCAAATCGCCCATCAAGTCTGCAATTTGCTTCTCAAGCTCCAGCTCCCGCTGCGTCTTGCCATCTTGCAGAAACATTTTGTCTGTAAGCTGCTGCACAGCTGAATTGCGGAGTTGCACGTGCAGAGACTCACTCTCCATTTCAGCATCGGTTGCTCTGTCCCTGGCTGCATTCAGTGCCTCCTGCATCTCCATGAGGCGCTCGCGCAGCTCCTCTGCGTCCTCATCTGCATCCGTATCAGCTGGCTGTCTTTGTCCGGATCCTTCCAGCTGCCTTCGCAGTGACTCACACTCCATCTCAGCGTCAGTGGCGCGATCCCTGGCAGCATCCAGCTGTTCCTGTAACTCTGCCAACTTCTCAAAAAGATGCGAATCGTCATCCCCTTTGCGTTCTGCAGATGCACGCGCAGTTGAACCTCGCTGCAGCTGTTTGCGCAGGTCGTCACACTCCATTTCAGCATCGGTTGCTCTGTCTCTGGCTGCATTCAGTGCCTCCTGCATCTCCATGAGGCGCTCGCGCAGCTCCTCTGCGTCCTCATCTGCATCCGTATCAGCTGGCTGTCTTTGTCCGGATCCTTCCAGCTGCCTTCGCAGTGACTCACACTCCATCTCAGCATCAGTGGCGCGATCCCTGGCAGCATCCAGCTGTTCCTGTAACTCTGCCAACTTCTCAAAAAGATGCGAATCGTCATCCCCTTCGGGTTCTGCAGATGCACGCGCAGTTGAACCTCGCTGCAGCTGTTTGCGCAGGTCGTCACACTCCATTTCAGCATCGGTTGCTCTGTCTCTGGCTGCATTCAGTGCCTCCTGCATCTCCATGAGGCGCTCGCGCAGCTCCTCTGCGTCCTCATCTGCATCCGTATCAGCTGGCTGTCTTTGTCCGGATCCTTCCAGCTGCCTTCGCAGTGACTCACACTCCATCTCAGCATCAGTGGCGCGATCCCTGGCAGCATCCAGCTGTTCCTGTAACTCTGCCAACTTCTCAAAAAGATGCGAATCGTCATCCCCTTTGCGTTCTGCAGATGCACGCGCAGTTGAACCTCGCTGCAGCTGTTTGCGCAGGTCGTCACACTCCATTTCAGCATCGGTTGCTCTGTCTCTGGCTGCATTCAGTGCCTCCTGCATCTCCATGAGGCGCTCGCGCAGCTCCTCTGCGTCCTCATCTGCATCCGTATCAGCTCTCTGTCTTTGTCCGGATCCTTCCAGCTGCCTTCGCAGTGACTCACACTCCATCTCAGCGTCAGTGGCAGCACGTTCTGCCCGACACAACTGATTGCGCAGTCGTTCGGCCAGCTCCTGGATTCCCTTCTGAGCTTCCAACTGTTGCCTCATCTCTTCTACTTCCAAGAGCAGTTGCCCGTTCCGGCTCTTTGCCCGGCAGATCATCTGCTGCACTTCACTTTCACGGCTCTGGCCTGCACTGAGCTGGCTCGTCAGATGCCCGTTCTCCTCTTTCAAGGCCTCTACCTGGGACTTCAAGACAGACATCTCCGGCCTCAACACCGCAAGCTCCCAAGCAGCGGAATTGGAGCGGTCCCGAAAAGACTGGGCGATGCTCTCCACGGTCCAGTCCTTCAGCTCCTTCTGGTGCCGCCGCAGCAAGCCGAGCTGTTCCTGGCAGAAAACTTCAAAACCTACATGTAACGCCTTGGCGGACCTGGGTACTGAGGCTGTGTACTGTCATGACTCATTGCTCTGTTATGCTCGGTTTTCGATTGCCGGACCCGAATTCCTGCCATGATTCCGTGACTGTGTCCAGCACAGGCGGGTGGATGGCCAGTTGCCGCCGCAGACGCTGCGTGGCCTCCTGGAAAACTCCATATTCAAAGAAGGCATTCAGACGAAATGGAAAAGCCCTTCGAAAGATGCAATAGATCCTCCGCTTGGGCGATCCGTGTCTCCATAAAATCCCAGGGGGACTCCTGTAAGCGGACTGCACAGTCTTCCACGGCGAAAGCTGCAGAAAGAAAACCCAGGACATTAAAGGCGCTAAGCGGCTCGGATTCCAAACCCGTTGCCCACTCACCTACGCCAAAGACATGTCAATCCAGATGTCGCACCCTGCATCCTTCTCTTTCTCATGAGGCTTCGAAATCTGCATGCTGGTTGCCAGGAAGGCTGCGACCATGAGCCCTGCTCTGCAAGAATATACTGAATTAGACCTTTTTGTTGTAGGACTCAGTGATTGGTATCTGCTAAGGCAACATCTACAACAAAAGTTGCAGTTGTCGCATACAAGAGTAGCCACGAAAGCCAACTGAAGCCCAAAGGGGCGACGAAGTCAATCAATGCCATGTATGACAGTTGGTCGTCAGTGTTACGCCGACAGGACAGATCCAGAAGCCCGATGTTAGGCACTGCATAACAGATCAGGAACACGAATCCGGAGGACACTTGCCTGCGTTGCTCATTTTGACGGTCACTTTGCGGTGGTGACAACGGATGACGGACGCAGAGACGGCTGTTGCGCGTGTGCGTGTGCAGTGGTCGTCGGGTCAGTCCATGCTGTCCAGAACGACCTGGCGAAGATGCGCACAGATTCTGCGGCAGCAATTCAGAAATCTGTCAGCGACGCCGCCATGCTGTACCGTGGCCTCGGAAATTGCCGATGTGAGCTTCCGCGAGAGCTGCTGGCAGCGTGGCAGCATCAGTTCGCCCTCCCACCGCAGCGAAGCTTTCTTTTCCAGAAACCCCGGACAGTCCTCAGTTCAACTTCCATGAACTCTGCCAAGCGCTAGGAGGCAAGAATGGGGAGCGACATCCGAAGTCATATTTCAGTGGAATAGGTTTTTCTGGTAGCATGGTAAGAAGACGAGTTGCTTCCTGGGGACAGCAGCGTTTGCCAAGAAGCGAGACTTCTCTCAACTACAAACTGTCCTCTGTGCTTCTACCAAGCGGCTTCCTGGTGCGTTCTCCAGTCAGTCTTCTGACAACTGGAACTGCAATAAGATCTCTGCTTGCAGAGGCCGCATCTAAACGATGCCAGTTTGCCACAGATCCTGGGGCCGCTTGCAGACAGGAAGCAAGGACTGGGAAAGAACAAAGCAGCTGGCTTGCTCAATCGTCGCCCCTTGGTTGCAAGGTGTAGACTGGAAGCCAAGATGCTGACAAAGACCATGGGAAGGATCCAGGCGCGGGAAAATGGAGACGAACGCCATGGGATTCTTCTCATCGTTCCAGTTGCTCTCTCTGAACTGTATATCGAGACCTGCACAATGCAACGTGTCCAGCAGCTGTGCCTGGACTTCGGACATGAACTCGCATCGCGCCTAAGGTCTCGTAGCTGATGCCAACGGCTCTAAAACGCCCTCCACCATACTTGTCTGAAGGCTCCCCCAGCATCAGGACCACCTGAGCATCAGAAGCCCTAGACCGCTCCGTCTATTGTGCAGACAACATAATTGAGCCGAAGCCACGTCCTTGCTATGGTGACTCCACTGCAGGCCCTCCGGCAGCGGGCCAGCACTGTACTGAGCAAAGCCTTCGCCTTCGTTGTACCTTGAAGTTGCGGAGGGCTTAAATCTTGCTGAGCTAGGCTTCACATCTTCCGCGGCAAGAGGCGTGGAAAACACATCCGATTGTTTTCTTCTTGTCTTCAGTCTACACACGGGCGAATCCTCCAAGGTCTCCAATGTCTTTTCTATGACTGCTTGATCTTGCAGTGTGAGCAAGAGCCAGAGGCCGGAACCCGGAAGGGATTCTCCACATGTCTCTGTCCCTCTTCGTCGCCAAGGCCAAGACACTAGGTGACTAAGGGCGGCAAGCCTTTCTTCTTCACCCAAAACGCTAATGCACCAGGACTATGTGTTGGGTTCGCACAAGGGTGTGATGCACCTACATGCATTCCTTGTTGCCCGATTCCCTGCTGGTTCCCAGATGAGTCTGTCGTTCTCAACAACAGCTTCCAGGCAGCTCCCAGCGGCGACAAGAAACACATATGAAAGACTGCCGGATACTTTGCTTGTGGCATCCTGTCTGCCCTCAAGCTTTGTCACTCCATAGCGAGCCATCGTGCGGACACAAAACACTCACGACATGCCCTTGACGTCGTTCGGGTTGCTTTCAACCAGAGGTTTGATGGATACTTCTGGCAGTGACTTGGTGTCGGCATACCTCAGCAAGTGCTCCCAAGGTGCAGAAACACCACATCCACACGCGCCTGTGGCGGATCTGCTGGCGTGAAACGGACCTGCACACCCAAAGCCTGTCAGAAGACAAATGAACGAAAAAGTAAGCTGCTCAAACAGATTCGTTGCATCGGCGGTCCCGCCTTCGCTGTCAAGTAGGCGCAGTCGCGGAACGACTTGAACTCCAGCTCCTTGGCATCGCCACTGGAACATCCGTCAACTCTCACCGTCGCCCCATCGAGGAATCCGAGAAGGATTCCGGTGTTTCAACTTTTCGGCTCGAAGCCTGCAACGGCTGCATGGAGCTCGACAGGCCGGGGTGCGACAGGCCGCAGAGAGGCACCGCGCAGGTCCCCGAGCACCGTCCGGCAGGCGTCCTTCCACTAAGCACGAAGAGCCGAACAGCCGAACAGAGACGAACAGCCCCCAGTAACGAACAGCCAGGTCGAAGTCTCTAACTGACTGTGTCCTGGTCCAAGCCTAGCAGCTCAGAGGCCTCGAAGTCGGCAGGGGCCATGGCACTCCCAAGTGCAACTCCGATTCTCTTGTCGTGGAGTTCGGGAGAGCTTTGTTAATCTTGCTACTACTACGACTACAACTATGACGACAACTACCACTTCCACTTCCACTTCCACTTCCACTTCCACTTCTACTTCTACTTCTACTTCTACTTCTACTTCTACTACGACTGCGACTACGACTACGACTACGACTACGACTACGACTACTACTACTACTACTACTACTACTACTACTACTACGACTACGACTACGACTCCGACTCCGACTCCGACTCCTACTCCTACTCCTACTACTACTACTACTACTACTACTACTACTACTACTGCTACTACTACTACTACCACTACTGCTACTACTACTACTACTACTGCTACTACTACTGCTACTGGCACTGCCTTGTTTCGTTGTCGAGTGATGCCGGATGTGCGTGGAACTTGAGCAAGATACGGCTGAAGACGAAGAAGAGCATGTTGTAAAAAGCCCATAATCGCAGCTGGTGAACAGCACGAACAACCTTGTGATCAAAGCTCAAAATACGAGGTGTAAGTGTCTTGACCTACATGCTGCGTCTTCAACACAACTATATCATTGCACGACGGAATCACGAGGTCGAATGTTTCGGACTGGGCAGGCCCTGCTGAACTAGCCGGTGAGGAACTCGACCCTTTTCGATGCATGTGACTGTGTAGCACTGAGGACACCGCTCGTCTCCGCCTTTGGCGGCTCAGGCATCCTGCATGGAAATCTCGGATGCGTGACCTCGACGAGAAGCAGAGCTCAGACGCTAGCAGCACTGCAGATCGTGGAGCAAGCCGATGTTGGGAGCAAAAGTATCTCACCAAAACCCTGACAGTCCAGTTTCGACGCATGAATCTTCTAAGGTGCTGGTGCTGTCGTCACCACACGTCCTGCCAAACTGCAGCTGTGACCATAGCAGGATCCCGGCAAGCATGACAATACCGTATTCATGAATCTGTCCAAACCTGGAGAGAGAGACCGTCTCTAGTTGTGACAGAAACTACTGGCCTCTCCGCTGCTGCAAGCAACTCCGACTCTTTGGCGACCAGCGGCATCAGGCTGCCTCTGATGCTGCGAGAGCTTGCCAGGGTCCCAGTCCGGGATGCGCACAAGTCCGTTCTCGCTGAGTCACTTGGCAAGCTTCGAGCGCTTCACCGTGACTACCCGCAACGATCGGTAGGCTCCACCGGTCCACCCACCGTGCCACATGCCGTCACTATCAGAACAAGCGTACGGCGTATGACGGTGGGGAATCATTCAAAAGCTTCCAAACTTGTCGACTTCCAAATCTCGAAAGCCGCGCCACCCTCACCGCGAGATCACGCTCTCGGGCACTTCACACAATGACGGCTCGAGCCGAGCCGCACATCGTCGGCAGAGCCAGAGACTGCATGCAGCCCGTGATGGCGAAGGTGATGCCGTAGCCGAAGTGATCGATCAGAGCACCGCCTGTGCCAGGCACACGAGATTCTTCCCATTTCTGGATTAGTCAGGCTTACGGACCCGGCTCCATTGGTAGGGTCGGCTTTGCCGAGTAAGACATAGATGCAGTTAGACACCATAAATGTGGCATGTCACGGAATAGGTCATGTTGAAGCCACATTGACATGCTGCCCCAAGCACTCGTGCCAGCATCCAAAACGAACAGGTTCCTTGTGACCCTAGAAGGCTCGAAATATGCTCAAAATTCTCCGGCCTACAGCGGCACTGCCAGACCAGCCTCAGCATCGGCTTGTGTCGGACGGTCGGTGGATCACATAGCGACACGCTCTGTGCATTTGCAAACACGACGAGTCCCTCAAATCCCAAGCTACGAGCCAGGCCGAGCTTGCAGCTCGGTCTGGTCAAGCCCTCTGCTTCCAGCAACGTACCTTCACCCGCCCTTCTGCAGTTGGACAAGCAGCCCATTGCAGTGATGGAGCCCAGGGCTTTCCAACGCCCCCTCTGCGCCTTCGGGGTGTAGTCGGCCTCTAGTGGCACGAAGGACAGCCGCATGGCACAGCAGAATGTCACGTTGACCCTGAAGCTGCAGCCAGGTCTCGATGATGGATCCAAGGAGGGGACTCGCGCCCCACATCGAACAGCAGCGCAGAAGAAAAACCGGCAGCATGACCTGGATCAACTCCAGCGCTAAATGAGGTCCCTACGTGGACTCGCTGTCACTCGCTAACGCTAAGTCGAGCTGCTCCAGGCACCGTGTAGTACGGTCTCAGCAAACCCAGCAGAATTGTGCAAGTGATGCCCAAAGCGTAGCCTGAGCCCGGGCTTCAAGAAGGGTTTCAGGTCGTTTTCGGCAGCCACGCACGATGCTACAGGAGAGCCGGCGAGCAGCATGGGATGATGACCTGGAGGCGACCCGCACACTTGGAGATGCGGGTGGAGATCAGCGTCGCGACAACCGTCAGAGCCGACAAGGAAGCGAAGACTGCTTGAAGGACGGCTGGATTTATGTGACCCTCCTGCTTGAAGAAGACGGGGAAGAATTTCACGGTCATTCCCGCCCCCAAACAAAGGATGACTTCGTTCATGAAAAGGACCAATCGAACGCGGCCAACGGTGATCAAACCGAAGCATGACGCCCTCTGGTTGCGCTCGACGAGCTCTCGAGCCCCACCCGAGTCTCCCACGAGACGCTCCTGAAGATGAACCGCCTCACTGCACTCCCCAAGCGCACGTCGGTCGTCCATGAAGAAGCAAGGGAAAATCGCCATTTGGCCTAAGACTCATCAGGCCGAAGAAGGTGTCACTCAGCTGCAACACTGCAGTGCCGTCAAGACACATATCAGGACACCAAGAGCGATAACGATCTTCATGGAGCTTAGTGACCACGTGTTGCCTGCGTAGAGGAAGACCACCAACCCGACGAGCGGGCCGACTGACGAGGCAGCTCCATACACCACGGCATTCATGGTTTCCACCTCGCAGCCCGAGTCTGGCCACAGTACCGCGAGGCAGGAGTGAGTCAGACATGTCTGCCAAGCTACGTCTGAGCGCCGTCCCGCAGGACACGAGTCGTCCATCAAGGCCACCAGCGGTCCGTTCATGATGCCATCACAGATGCCTGGCAAGCTGAGACACTAGCCGTTAGCCGCTCTCTTTTGCACCGTGCTCCAGCCGCTGATCCCAAACAGCTAGCAGCTAGCCAGCAGCCTTGCAGACCCAGAGCTGCACAGAGGATCGCAAAGGCCGTTGAATTGTCGGCCGTCGCCAAGAGAACGGCGAGTAACAAGCACGCGCCAGACAGGAGGGAGAGACTGGCGCCAATCCTCGTTGCGTGCTCAAGCTGCTACTTGTGGCCCAGGTCAAACACTGGTTCTCTGGGTTTGGTCCTGCTGTCCTTATGCATGCCCGTCTCGACCACTTGTCGGCAATGTATCCAACTGGCAAAGCGAAGATCAGGTTGGTGAGGCCTGGGGACTCTCTCTCCCTCTGAACGGCCCGGCAAGTTCCGGCTACGGTACTAACACAAATGCATGGTTAAATCTCAGGATGCCTTGCAAGCCCTCCGCAAAGCCAACGTCAAAGTTGCTCCCGCCGACCAGCAAGATGAAGGAAGGCAGCACCGTCATCTGGAAAAGCCCCGCGCCTGTACAGTAGAAGCCTCGAGCCAGGGTACTTTTTTCGAGGCAACACAGCCGATTTGCGTCAGGATGCATCGGGTACGAGGTAGGTTGGACAAAGGGACAAACTTCGTTCATGGACAGACTGACACACCTACACATTCCTTTCAACCAAAGCCTATAGATCGTGAGAAAGAAAACCCAGGAACAACCGTTGCAGGACATTTGTCCGCCTGTTGCACAAAGGCCACACAGGACGTTGTAGGTCCATGGACTGTTGGTGTCGGTCATGGCAGCAGCCATTGCGATCTTCGTCGCACAGGATTCGATCCGCTTGATTTGTTGAACATGACACTAACACTATCAAGTACTTACAGACTTACAGTGGTCAGGTCACTGGCACGCGCGGCCTTCGCTCGCGAGGGTTCTAGGGCTCCTAATCGTGTTCCCGCTAAAGCTTGTCCTGCATGTTGGAGTCATGGGGTGGTCTTGGGATGGGAGCCCCAGGAGTGCTCCTGACATGATGGCATTTGATGCTCGTCTACTGCTTAGGCTCTGCACTGGCCACTGGCATGATCATGCAGAGGTGCTGGAAACCAGAATCCTATGGCCCTGCTCTGACGGCTTGCTCTCACCGCACTGTTTTCGAACAGACTGCGGTACCACCATGTCACCGCGGGGGGGGCGAGGGGCATGTGTGATTCTCATGCTAGCCTGCATTGGGCTCTGGTTCTAGCTTCCACTGATCTTTGCAGCGGCTGAGGAAATCGAGCATCACGTACATGGCTACACAGGCTACGTGTTGAAACGCAGCTTCATTACCACATGCCACCAGCTCTCACTTAATTTTTCCCATCCTGCAGAGTCATTGCACCTGCTGCCGCCGGAAGCACCACCAGCGCTTGCTATTGACTTCCATGAGAATGTGCTTCAAAGTTTCTGCACACGCATTGCGAATGTTGCGACAAGTAGCTGGTGTATGCAGGGGGCAGCTACGTAATTCTCATGCCAGTTTGCTTTCTCGCAAACTTGGGAGCGTGGCCATGAGAATTTGAATTAGACCGGGCGGGTGGCGGTCTGAAACTCCAGCCAGCTCGAGACAGCATCAAGCTTCAGGTGCCCCTTGCGGGACTTGAGGAGAAGTTTGTGGGATCTGCAGCTCTTGAAGCTTCAGTCTGGACTGCGCCACCTCGGTTGCAAAGTCAAGCAGAACTCCAGCACACAAACACAACGGCCCTTCCTCCAGAACCGGCAGTGGGCGCATCTTTCAGGCGTCGCTGCGAAGTCAGATTCTCCAAAATTGTGCCAAGCTTCTGGGGCTTTGCCCTGTGACGTGTGGCGGGGAATTGCTCGGCCCCTGCCTGCTCAGGAACCAAAGCCCAAATGGACGTCTCGGCCCTTCCGTCGTTCCCGCCTGTGGTGACCGTCGTCTCCACTGCCTTCCTGCGTTCAGTCTTGGCCCCCAGTGGCCCCAGCGGCCGGTCCTGGCAGAACTCGGGTTTTCAGGCACAGCGTCCCCTCATGTCTCTTGGAATCCTCGGCTGAAGGCTGCGAGTGCTTGCGGGCTACGGAGCACTTGGAAGGGGTCGGCATGTACCTCGGAGCAGCCGCAGGAGCGAAAGAGAGCTGCAGAGACCTGACGAGACGTGACGAGATTCTTCGGATGGCCCTTGGCTGCATCTTCTCCAATTGGCTCGCCATTGCTGCTGGGCGGCTGGCCTAGACATCGGAGCAGTCGAGCAAGAGTGATCGCAGATTGAAGCACAGTGAAGTGCAAGTTGAAGCCCCTCTGCGGTTCGGCCCAGGCCCTGGCCTTGGTTGTCTTTGATCTTTTCCCGCAGAAGCCGCGTCGCGTGCACATGCAGCTGCTGCAACAAAGTCGGGGGAGCTGCTTGCACCTGGTCGCACACCTCAGGGAGATGCATTCAACGAAACAGAGCGGTGTCCCAGCCATGGCCCAATTCGCAGCATGTTACCGGTCTGATTGTAACAGGTTGCAGCTGCTCCCGCTTCGACTGCTTCCGCTCGTGCAGATACATCCTTGCAGGCTCTGCACGTGTAACCAGCTCGCGTCCGCTCGCACTGTGCAGAACAACGAAGAATTTCTCAAACGTGTTCAGTGTTCAGCAAAGCACATGTCAGGCGCTCCTCCGGAGTGCAGACCAGCTTGGCCACGCGCGCAGATTCAGGGCTGGGACGAGGCCTGTCAAAAGCCGTAAGCAGGAGGATCCGGAGAAATGCTTCGATCTCCAGGCAGGGCCTCAACAGCCGAGTCCGAGGTGGGGTCGCACCTCCCGCTTAGCAGCTTTAAGCAATGCTGCCAGCAGGTCTTGACACTTAGAGGCCAACATTGCCCAACTTACACGTGTCAAGACATGACCGCAGCAATGCGCTCAAATGTTCGGAGGTCCATCAAACGCATTCCAACATCATGCTGAACACCACGGCCTGGCTGCCTATCATGATGTCCAGCCTTCTTTGAGTCTGATTAAAATTTCCCCGTCGCCGATTTTCTGCTTGGGTTTCCGCATCTCCGCAGAGCGGCAGGACTGCCCGGTGAAAGGATCCTTTGTCCGTATCCGCCAAGCTATACGCGTCCATCAAATGCGAGACGTAGTTGGACAGTACGCACATGCAGTAGCTTCAAAATTGTCGACTCATGCAAAGGTCTTGATGGCTCCTTGGATCCTCTCACCAGGCGTCCCGGCATTGGCCGCCCCACACGCACACGCACGCACACAAACAAACCACACATCCTGCGTCTGACTGTCTCAACTCCTTCGCGGTGCCTGACACCATTGCCCACATTAGGGCAAACTGGGCCGGATTTGATACAGGCAATGCCCGGACTATGCGCTCCTTCCTTGCAGAACCGTCAGAAGCTCCTGGTCAGAGCTGCGTCCACTGAAAATTTAAGACTCACACGATCCACACCTTCAGCTCAAAGTTCGGCGATGACCCGCGACCCATCAGAGCTCGTCGTCAAGTTCATAGGGCTCGTCACACGCCTTGGAGAACAACGACGGGTCCATAGATGAGCATATCCCGAGGGCAGAGGGGTCGCTTGTGACTTTCATCGGGTGTCACATGTGACTTCTGTGCCGGTGTCGCTTGTGACTTCTCAGTCTCTGTCCTTTAAAAATTCTGCAGTGTCATTACTTTTGGATCATTGGTTACCTTGGCGACCCTCGCTCGCTCTCCTCTCCCTTCTCCTCCCTCTTCCACCTCCTCCCCTCCATTCTCTTTCATGGTGCGCATGATGCTCACGAGGATCTGCCCATGATGCCCATGAGGTTGATCGTTTTGATGCTAAAACCGGCGTCTTTTTCGGATCCCTCGGGGCGCCCTATATACCCTGAACTTGCGCTAAACCCTCATCCCTCAGGGCGGAACCGTCAACCCCAAGCCCTCACCAAGCCTGAACCTTAACCCTAAACCGCAAGCCCTACACCATAAGCAACCCGGAACCTTAACCGCGTAGTTGTAAACCTTGAACAGCGAACCCTAGACTGAACCCTGAGGCTAGACCCTGGGCCCGTGACCGTGTACCCTAAACCCTGACCTTAAACCAAAAAAACAAAACACCAAACCCAAACAGTAACCTGAAGCGCTGACCAAACCCGCACCCCAAACCCTGAACCGTAAGCAGAGCGTCGAAAAAACGCAAGCAACCCTGAACCCTGAACCCTAAAGCGTAAACCCTAGACTGCAACCAACCTTGAACTCTAGCCCCTAAACCGTGAACCTTGAACCCTGAGACCAGGCCCTAATTCCAAACCCTAAACCGTAAACCCTAAACCGGAACCTCGAACAAAAACCCTAAACACCAAACCGTCAACCCCAAACCCTGACCAAGCCTGAACCCTAACGCCTAAACCGTAAACCCTATAAACCCTAAGCGACCCTGAAGCTTAACCCTTAAACCGTAAACCCTAAAACGAACCCTAAACCCTGAACCCTGAGGCTAGACCCTAATCCAATCCTGAACCGCGAACCCCGAACCCAACACCCCAAACCGCGAACCCGTAAACCCTAAACCCTGACCAACCCTGAACCTTAAACCCTAAACCGCAAACCGTAAACTGTGAGCAACCCTGAACCCTGACCTAAACCCCCCACCCTGACCAACCCTGAACCCTAACCCCTGAACCCGAACACTGAAGCTAAGCCCTAGGCCGTAAAACCTAAACCCTAGCAATGAACCGCGAACCCTGAACCCAAAACCCAAACCCAAACCCGAGCCAAACCTGAAGCTTAACCCCTGAACCGTAAATCCTAAACCGTACTTGGCAGGGCGTGTGGGTTAGTATGCACTTACATACTTTATTAAGTAGATACAGAAGTTACAGCATATAGGTAACTACAACATAGCATGTCTTATAAGTCCACATATCGTAACTGAGTTATCGGACTTAGCTAAGTGCACATAGAAGATGTAGATAACAACATTTCCATAGAATGAATGCAACATTCGAAGTGTACATAAACACCGTCGTGCAGGGCAACATTGCTCGCAGGCAGGTGCAAAATCATGTTTTTCTAGGTGCATGCACTCCATCAAGGCACAACCCTGACTCTGCCAGGGCCTTCGGGCACATACAGGCATGCAGACTGAATGCCCGATGAGGCCACGAAACGAGCCCCCTCCGCATTCTGCTGGTACATGTTTCGACCAAGGCCAGCAAACGGCTGCAGCAAAGTGACAAGGTCGCCGGAGCCGAGTCGTGCATGCAACCACACTTCGGCTACATCACCGGATTCAGCTTAACAAAGTCAGCTTTGTGGACAATGCAGCCAGGTGAAACCTGAGCTGCAAAAGCCCCCTGAGCTTGGCCCACGGACTCGGCCCCGAAAGCACTCACCAAACTCGCCATGAGAAGAGGGCTCGCAGGCTTGGGGGAGATCAAATGCGGCTGCACAGGTCCGGTGCTGCCTTCCATTGCTAAGAGGAACCGGCCGAGCACATCCTTCATGATGGCATCCTCGAAACCCTTGGTAGGGTTTTTGATGTGGTCTGCAAAATTGTTTACCTCCTTGTGTTTCCTCTCGTGCGTAAAGCACGACACGAGGTCCTTGGTTGCAGCCATGCTGCCCAAGTGTTGGGCATAGTGGAACTTCGGAGTGATGTGGTCTTCGCCGTGTGCTGTTTTGAAGGCTTGGCAATGCTGCTGTATGGCTCCTTCCAAACCACGACTGGCATCACTTTCGCCACGATTGATGGACAAAAGAATGTCCAAGACAATGCACAACTTCAAGAAAGACTTGACGGCCAACTTGAGTGCATCGTTCATGCTAGACACATCCAAGCTCAGCAGAAACATCCGCACCAAAGGATAGGCATTGAGCCCTTGCGAGGCTGACGACTTGAACTCGTTCGGCGAGGCTTTCTTTTTGAAAAGCTGCAATGTCTCATTGATTCTACCACGAAGGTTCTGGGGCCATTGGATCTGCATCATGTAAGCCAACAAAGTCTCCGCCGAATGACCGGCACTGTACAACAGGGGCAGCAATAAGCCCATTTCTGTTTGCCACAGGCCCGTCACGAGAAACACGTGCATCCAGTCAAACATTAACGACTGCACGAGTGGCATGGACCGATAATGCAGGACTCCATTGGGGTTGCAGTTGAGACCCAAGGATTGTTCCAATCGAGTATAATCCTTCTTCGACAACGTCGCCTGCCGCCTTTCCAGTAGCTCGTGTGCCCGAAAGATTTCAGCATCTGTCCGGAGGACGAAATCGTTCGGATCCGTGCAGGATATGCTCCTTAAAGTGCCAGTCGCATCGTAATCTTCAGCAGCACTGATTCTGCTGATGATGTTGGAGCACAGGGGACACGGCAGGGTCCCCGATGCTCCTTTCACATCAAAAACAAACTTCAGAGCTGATTCGTCGCCCAGCATAGTTCCCAACTTTGCGAAAAACATGCATCTCTGCCCATCGGGCATCGTCAACATGCAGCCAGTGCTCAGAGCTTTCACAGGGCCTGAACTGATCAGTTCGTGGGTGAGGCCTGAAAGTCCTCCTAGCAGCTGGTTCACCACAGAACTCCTTGCCAGGGACAAGCAAAACCAGAAGCTTTCCCGGGACCTTGCTTCGGCGCCAAACTGGTCAAAGGTCACATAGAACCCGTGTACTTTCCTGCTATTGGAAACTTTGAGTTGGTTGCCAGGACTTATCTCGTCCGAATATAGTGTCATGGTCCATGCACGATCTGGCCCACTCGGATGCACGTGCATCCTCTTCTGGAAGAAGGTTGCGAACTGGGGAAGGTCGTTGCACAAATGCCACAAAAAAAAATTTGGCAGATTCAACACTGGCAGATTCACCTGAGACTCGTCCTTTTGCAACTTCACGGCGATATGTGTGATCAACGAACCGTGAGGAGTTTGCATGTCGATGTGCTCATCCCTGGCCCGCTTGATAGTTCTTCTGGACCCAGCATCCGGAAGAGGGGTTTCCTTCAGTTCCTTCAACAGTGCCTCCAGAGCACTCTGGGAGACATAGTGCTTTCGGCCCAATGCAGCCAAAGCCATCTTTATAGATCCTGCTCGCGAGCTTAAGAAAGCCCTGCAAGCGAAATAAGAATCATATTCGAGATACTCGCAATCAGTCCTACATACAGATCTGAAAGTGTACGGCTATATACAGAAACGATTCTATAGAATAAGTTAGCAGTGCATCATGGCATGGAACACACAGCCTCGAGGTCGACATAACCACACAAGTGAAGCCACTGCAGACTGATGTGCAAAACGGCACTGGCACAAAAGAGCTGGCAACATGTCGGATCATCTGAGGTGTGTGTCGCAGATAACGATGCACCTTCTTTTTCTCGCAGCAGAAACACGTGTTCCGTGGGTTCTTTAATTGCATATAGTGCAGAACATAAATGCATCCAGACCCCGTTCATGGAGCATGCATGGCCTACATACAACTCGTGAGCATGGCTGTGAACATTCGGCACAGCAGTGGCATTGCTCCTGCATTAGCATATACTACTTTACATAGCAACACGGCCGGCAGCCAGGGCTCCAGCGACACTTCGAGCAACCATGTGGTCGCAGGGCCAATCTCTTCTTCATCGGCAAGTTGGCATAGTACTCCCGTGTGCCGGTCGCTGGGTTCGCCATGGCCTTTGCCTTTGCCATGGCGGGCTTCTTCATCACCTTGGTGCTGTTGCCCTTGCCCCCCTTGCCATTGCCCTTCTTGCCGACGGTCTTGTCGCCATTCGTGCCCTTCTTGCCCTTGCCCTTGCCCTTCGTTTTTTTGGCGCCTTTCCCCTTGCCCT